ACAAGAGAATATTATGAAGTTTTAGGCAAACATGGCAAAATGTACAGACTGCAAGCAGAAGATAAAACTACTATTGTCAGACCTCGTTTCAAACTTGTCAAAGTTCAAGGTGGTATACTTTCAAAGACAGTTCCTAACAAATATAAGACAACTCCTGACGAATATGCTAAAGAAGTTGAAAATGACGACTAAGCAATTCTATACCATGCGTAAACTGTCATGTAAGGTGGCATGTAGTCTTTACTTTGTCCCGTTGTTTGCGTATATCCTGAAACGCGATGTGTATGGTTTCCATCTCCCTGAGTGTCATCCAGTAACAATTTATAGCAAACTGAACGTCGTCTTTAACATCATATCCTTTACCTTTTTTCATTCTGCCAATCCCAAAATTTATGCTTATGCCAACCTGCTTGAGATGTACTTAAATCTATGTAGTGACTGTGTGCAGGTAAATTTTCACCTGAAATCGTTTTACTTCCACCTGTTTCCTTTGAAGAGTTTGCACAATACAAAAACCTGTCGACTATTTGAGTCCAAGTTCCGAGACCAAGTACTACTTCTGGTCTGGTAGAGTTCATTGACGTATAAATAGAGCCTATAGGATATAATGTTTGAAGTATTTCTGTCTTTAATGTTTGAAGCTCTGTTTTGTCTGCTTTCTTGTCATATAAATCTTGAGCAGTGAATTTAATATTATGTTCATCCTTCATGACATAAACATCTTTACATCTAATGTTTAACATCGTCGTTATGTCGTCATCCGATGTTAAACCTTGTGGAAAGTTAGGAGGTTTACAATATATTGCATCCCCACCAGTTTCTTCAACCGTTCCTTCAATACTTTCTATAGCAACAGTTGTAAAACTTGTATGTGTATGGTTCTTGTCTGCTTTCTTCTCTAACTCATCGTTAACATAAGTTTTATCTGCTTTAAGGTCTAAACATCCTGAAACCCATCCTGTATCGGCTTTAACTTTAAAAGTCTCCGATGTCCATTCATGGTACCAGTCAACCCTTTTTTTCATTTCGTTATCTTTTTCATCCACATATTCCTTATCCGCTTTCTTCTCTAACTTACTAGCCACATATTCCTTATCTGCTTTCTTTTCAAGGCTAACGTTTAAGTCTGTTATTTCAGATATAGAATGTGTATGAGTCTTTTTAGAATATTCGTTTTCAGCTCTTGTCACTTCACTTGACATTTTATTGTCAACATATGTTTTGTCTGCTAGTTCAGGATGAGTATGTTCTTTTGTTGCATAAGCATTGTTAGCTCTTTCTTCTTCTTTTGCTATTGCATCGTCTACATATTCTTTGTCAGCTTTGTTGTCAACATCCGTTTTCAAAAGAAGTTCATTTATAGGTTTCTCGTTTAAAGTTCCTTTTGTTGGATTTATACAGACAGTATGGTTCTTATTGTCTTGAAACAGAAACTCATCTGTCATTGGGTTTAATGTCAGTTTTAAGTTTCCTTCTTTCAATGACTCAGATATCTTAGAATAGTTTGAAAAGTTTGTTGTGTTCTTATTTAGAGCTTGCATAATGAGTTGTCGGTTGTGTTGTATTTCTCTCATGGAAGCAATATCTTTCGACATTTTTATTCTAGATAAAATATGCTTCCAATAGAAAAAGAAAATTCAAGAGTTGCTACAACTAAACCATTAGATGAACTTTTTACTAATGTCGGTCAAAAGTTTGAGACAGAGACCGTAAAGCATGAAGGCTATCGTTTTGACTACCCATTAAGATGGCTAAGAGACCCATCTGTCACAAAAGCTATTGGCTTTCGTAGAATGAAGTTTGTGTCTGTAGAAGATAAAAGTTTTCCATTTATTGTAAGGTTTCATATAGATTATATATCTGAAGGGAAACGAAAAATGTGGGAAGAAATTGAGCTAATACAAGTTGACCTTTCATCTTCTCTACAGACTGCGTTAAAAAATATAGAAGATAAAATAAATTCATGTTATGCAAAATATGCTGATGAATATGCAAATACCGAGAGCACACTTTATGTGAGAATTGTATATGACAAACAAAATTCACAAGTGTCATTTCAAATCTACGAAGACAATCCAAAGAAAGACGAACAAATATATACAGAATTCACTGCAATGTCATGGTATTATTTGCAAAGAATGTTAAATCAGAAAGTCGAACTTCCTTTAGCAAATATTTACAGTCGATATGCAAGAGATGAACCATATTTATTTAAAGATGTTTTCGACCCAGCTGCTATTATTGTTCATGCTTCATTTTCTGGCGCCCAAAACTCTTTCTTATGCTTGGCAAATGACTTTTACGAAAAACCTACAAAGTTATACGAACCACCAAGTGGAAGTATTTCAGACTTTCAAGTATGGTTTACTACAGATGGAAGAAAAAGAATAATTCCATTATACCATGCGTTTTACTTAGAACTTAGTTTCATATACAACTACTATCGAACGGTAAAAATATAATCTTTTAATACGGTTGAGGTGTTGGATTTGGTTGCCAACTAGACTGTGGTGCAGGTTCAGGCTGTTGTATAACAGGAGCTTGTTCTTCTGGTTCAGGGTCTTTAGGTATAATACCAACGAACTGACCTACTCTTTTGCCAATATTTTTGACTCCGTTCCAAATTCCTCTTCCTACGGTTTTTATTCCATTCCATATACCTCTTCCAACATTTCGAAAGAAGTTTCCAATACTACTGAAGAAACCCATTTTACTATATGTAAAAATCTAATGTCCACCTAGTCTCTTACGTTTCCTGTTGAGTTCCATAGCATTCTTTAACTGGAGCTCATACATTCTATTTCTCCTCTGGTAGAAAACATACTCTGGGTCAACTCCTGTGTTCGCGTCATCTGCATAGAGTTGTTTATATCCCACTTCAGGGTTTGTATAAAACTCTTTCCATCTCATATTTGCATACCATGGTGGCAAACCTAACGCAGCGTCATTTGACATGGCAGTTTGCATTTGTACATCTGTTGGCACTTGACCATAGTTTGCCATTGCAGTTTGTATTCTAACTTCATTTGGAATATTCTCTGGGTTTGGTTGTCCAGGTTGCTGTGCATTCGCTAAGTTCTGTGCGTCCATTTAATATTAGATAAAAATATCTCTTACGAGTACATATGCTGAACATTTGCAGGCATTGGTTCATCTTCATATTCTCTGTACTTTTCTGCCACGTCAAATAAATAAATGACACAATGGAAAAAACCTAAAACAAGTAGTCCTATTTCAAACCACATTTACTTACTAATAAAATTTCTTTATTGTGACACTTTCTCCAGTTTATAGGACCTCTCTCATATTCTATCTTGTCATATCTAAACTCATAGTCATGTATGTCCTCTAACCATCTCATAACGGTTTCCAAACCACTTTTATCGGATGTAAAGTAAAAGCATGGATGGTTATGTAAAACGTCTAAAGTTTCTAAAGAGTCTCTCAAAGTCCAGTCTACTTGGTATTGAAAATCCCATGTGTTAAAGAACGGCGGGTCCACTATAAAGAAAACATTTTCCTTGTCTTTATATTTTCATACAAATCTGTCCAATGACATCTCACAAACTCTATACCCTCAATATATTTTTCTATGTCCTCTTTGAAAACATTTGTATAGTTAAGATATAAAACTTTTGACATAAGTGTTTCAATGTCATGAACTCTTATAGAACCACTATATAATAGTCTAGCAGATATACTATCCCAGTCTATATATTCTGCTTTTTTCAAAACCTCTCTCACAATATTTTTCTTATCTAATGGTATACGTTCCATCTTACCTATAGGTATCTTTTCTTTTAACTCTTTCAATATATTGTTTGTGTCTGGAATATGTTTGAGACGGTTCATATAGTTGTCGAAGTCATTGCATATAATCTTTGAGTCTGGGAATATTGTATGGCACAAATGGGATATATAGAAACTTCCACCGAACAAATCTACAAATGTTAGACCATTCGGTAGTTTCTTAAGTTCTCTCAATATAATATCTTTACATTTACTCTTATTTCCAAAGAACGGTAACGGAGGTTTTGTAAAATTCATTTATATATAATAATAAAAATGTTTTTACCCGAAAAGTGACAGAAAAGTGACAAAACATGAAAACATATATAATTTGTGAAAAGTGAAACATTATATAATGTTTTCGACCCAGAAGAAGGCTTCTTCCCAGAAGCAATGGAGGAAGAAGAAGAGTCCTCCGAATTCACACCAGAAGACTAACAATTTTCCGAATAAAAACTTCATTTATACTAAACATCTTCGGGGCTAGAAGGGGCGCAGCCCCTGGAAGCCCCACTGCCTTTTTTTTTTTTTTTTTTTTTCTATCACAACAAACAAGCCATTTACTAATTAACACATATAAGAAAAATATCAAATTACAAAACAACTTTCAATATCATTCGCATCGAATTCTATTTTTTCATAATTATCAACTACATGTTATTATATAATATATGTCGGCGCATATTCCACTCTATACAAGTGTCAGACACACTCACACAAAGCTGTGAGATTCATACCTCTATCAGTAGGACTTCTCAAATCAAGAACACATATGTTTCACTATCGCACATCTGTGTAGGATCTAATTAACCCTTTGGACTGGTACTTCAAAATTTGATAATTTGATAATTTCATGTGATATTATCATTTGCCTTTAAAACAACTGTGCGTTAAACTAGACACGTTTCTCTATCATAATGCAAAATATCAAAGTTTGGGAGATTCCCAAAGTGTCTGAAACTGATCATAAGGGTGAAAAACCGTTTTCCAGAAGTTGGGAACGTAGGGTATTTTTTTGGATCAAATCCATTTTAATAGAATTTATATACTATTCATCTATTAGTAAACACTACCGTATATTATTTTTCTAGTTTTTAACTTTCTACGCATGTTTATTATTACCTTTTCTTCTTCTTAAATTATGCAGAGAGTAAATGAAAAATTCAAGAAAGTAAATTTTATAAATTAATTTTTATTAATAAAAATGTAAATTACTGAGAGTTTTCCTTAACTATGTTGTAACCTCTAAAGCAAGCAATAGTTTTTGCCTTATCTTTGCCGAGAGCAGCGTAATATTGTGCTGCTTCAGTAAAATCGATTTTAAGCTCGTCAGCAATTTCCTTAATAACATCAAAGTGTCCTTCGAGCTCTTGAAGTAATTTTTGGCGTTCTTGTTCGATAATTTTTTCATCTGTACTAAAGATTTCTGGTGCAGCCTTGTCTGGTATATCGCCATTAGCCAAATAAATAGCAGCACGGTTTACACAATAAAATGACATCTCAAGAGCTTTTCTGATCTTAGCTTCATCTGTAAAACCGCAATCTTTAAGTGTTACAATGTATTCGTTGATTTCTGATGGAGCTGGCTCCGTATGTTCTGCGCATCGATCTCTGTCCGGCATTTTATATCCTGCTCTCCTCTTTGGAGCTTCTTTTTGATGATCTTGAAGAATTCTTACAATTAAGCAGGCTCCATTATCTAATCCGAGACTGCTTACCAATGTTTCTGGTGATTGCTTCTTGCATTGAAAAATAATTTCGATTTCTTTGCCTTGAAATCCATCCTGAGTTTTCAAATAGTTAATAACATCTGCAATTGTTGTAGATGGGTTGGCATTGTTCATCTTGAGTGTCTCATTCTTGCACCTCAGATTGATTGTCTGCATTATTTATAAATTTACAAATTTCAAAAAAATTGCCAAATTTTTTTTCGAACTATTATGTTTACATCTATTCAAATTTATTTCAAATTCTATTCTTAAAATTTTCTCAATAAAAATATGAAATTACTATACAACATTCAAGCTAATAATGAAATACACCAGCGATATTAAAAATTTTATTTTGACTTGGAAGAGATTTTAATCAACTCAAATCTCCCCAGGGAGTTTGAATAAAGAAGCAATAATGAAAATTTGGACTATGGTTAGTGTACTTATATCAAACATGTGGAACAAAGTGGGTTTATATAAATATATGTATGTTTTAATAAATCTCATATATGATATGATGTATTATTGAAATGGTTTTTGAAGTGTACTACAAAAGAGTATAATTCTGGAGGATGCTATCTCGTTTGATTCTTTTGGATGTAATCACATTCTGTTCGCATATTTTCCTAATCGCGAGAGATATTTTGCATATAGATGTGTCCATAATGAGGATAATATGTAATGGAGCTTGACGTTTAGCCAGATATTTTTTGTAAGCACTGAGATTTAATTTGTGAGAGAAGACTGTCTTATCTGATCTTTTGATCTGCTTACAGTTATTCTGAGAGTGCCATTTGGTTAAAGTACCCGATTCGGCTGAATGTGTCGAAATTTTAATCTTTATTTAAGAATTCGACCGAAAAAAATGGTTTGGTTTAATTACGACATCTGTGTAATGCCATTCTGGGAACCATTGCACTTTAATTATACTTGGAAAAGTCATAGGTATTATGAATTTTTTACAAACAAACAGAAAATATGATAAAATTACATAAAGTTAGAGTTTCGATTCCAATTGAGAGAGTTGAGCCGAAATATCAATAATTTCTGACTGAAGATCCTCAAATTTAGCTTTAAGTTGATTTTCAATTGGAACATCACAATCAATTTTATATTCCTGGAGGAACTCTTTTGAAAAGTATTTCTGGAGAAGATAATCCCTTGAATACAGCAAATTATTGCGTAGAACACTTAAAATTTCTGAATAATTATGGTTTTTCGCAAATGCCAAAGGAGATATGTTTTCATCATTCTCAATATTTGGATTTGCTTCTCCTGAAATAAGAATTTTGCACATTTCAAGATCTTTTAAATAAACAGCAATATGTAGCGCTGTATTTCCTGACATTGATTTCTGGTCAATGTGAGATATCGTAGGGATATTTTGATTGAGGAATTCAAGGGCAGTTGTGGCTTTAGCATAAATTAAGTTTTGTGTTAGTAAAATAACTTGTGAATACCTTTTGTTTGTAACTGCTACATGTAATGCAGTCGTTTTAAAATCATTTGTTTCATTTATAGAGCTTAGAATCGGAATATCAATTTTTTGTTGGAAAGATTTATTTTTTAACATTATTGCTAAGCATTCGTATGATTCAGTGCAGCATGCGTAGTGGATTGGAGCCCATTCTCCGACATATTGAAATAAATCGACTTTATATTTTTCCAAAAGATATTTTAGAGTTTGTGATTGTTCGCACAGAATACAAAGAACTATCGGGGTTGGATCTGTTATAAAAGGAAATACATTTTTCTTGGATTTCGATTTAATTTTGAATTCTCCATGGAAACATTTATTGATTTCAGATCCTTCCGGCACTAATTTAGCTATACTTTGATTGTTTCCATTTATTATTGCTTCAGAAAAGCTTTTATCCATAAATTCCATAAGTTTTTTTTTCCAAAAAAAAGTCAAAACTAAAAAATAAACATTCAGAATTCCACGAAAACGAGGGACCAGGCAGCTAATGCTGAAAATTATCATTATTCAAACTCTCTTCAAATTTTAGGGGGGAAAAATATACTGACACTTTTTCAAATTCAGAAAAATTGATATTCACAAAACCTTTTATTTGTTGACGAGTTAATTGTGTCAGTAACAAAATTTGTGCACCATTACAATGTATATGTAGAATGAAGGTGAGTACTATCTTTTGTTCCGCTATTATATTGATTTTTGCCATAGATGTTGTTGATCCATTTCAAATCAATAAAAATTTTGTTTATTAATTAATCCGAACAAACTAATTGAATTATAAAATTTTCATGGATGAGGAAGAATTCTCTCTTTCTGTGGCCGGATTATCAAATCCAGGCAAGAATACTCTCCCTCTAGATTTTTGTTTTATTGTTAATGGCAAAAAATACTATTGTTATTCATTATATGCCGATTTTTTATCCCCAAAAATTGCAAAATTGCATGAACAGGATCCAAAACTTGATAAATTCGAAATTAACATCGAAGACGAGTTTGAAACCTTTGATCTTGCATTACAGCTCATGTATGGCGAAGAAATTTCTCCAAATGCTTTACAATCAAATTATCTAAACAAACTCGGCAAAATTCTCGAGAACGAAGAAATATGTAAGGCTACTGAACAGTGGTGCGAGCAAATGTCGCCACAAGATGCAATACTTTTGTTGATTCATAATCCGGACCAAGGAAGATACAAAGATATAGCAGTTGAGATAGTTGCGAAGTCAATGTACGAGCTTAACTCAGGAGATCTCAAAGATGTACCGGTTCAAATCCTCAATGAAATCTTTGTAAATCCAAAACTTGCAATTTTGAACGAAGAAACGTTCTTTACAATCATAATGGACCTTATTAACCTAAAGGGTCCAGAATACAGAGCGCTGCTCTCTCATGTTGATTTCCACCACTTATCAACAGATTCAATGAAGAAATTTGTTGATACAGTCTCAACCCACGATGTTTCGTCAGTGCTTTGGAGGTCATTGCATAAGCGCCTTACTATGGAAGTCAAAGAAAGAAGAATTCAGACAAGATACATCAAAAAAGAAATTCCAATTCCTTACGACGACAAAGACCCTCACAACGGCGTTTTTACATATCTACGAAAGCAATGTGGTGGAAAGAACCCCGTAGATGCTCATTTGGTCGAATTAAAATCAGGAGACACGGAATGCTCCGTTGCCGCGAAATTACTACTTGACTACGGTACTAAAGCAAGGTGGTACCTCGCTGAGAAAGAAAACAACACTCTAACGTTTGATTTCAAACATGGCAAATTCGCATTAAGCGCATACACTATTACTTCCGGCAGCTCTAGCAGCTACTGGGAATATCCAACAAGTTTCATATGGGAAGGATCGAACGATGATAAGAAATACGAATTAATTGACGAAAAGAAAGACAACAAAGACCTTGGAGCCAATGAAAAGACATATACATGGAAGTGCAACCTCTCTCAACTTTACAGATACATCAGATTCCGTCTGAAAAACGTGACAAGACATGGAGGTCTTTACTGCAGAGAATTTGAGTTATTTGGCGCATACCAGGAACCAGAAACAGAAGCATGGAACATGGCTACTAAGGAATAAACTTTTTTTTGGGTGAACTTATGCCCCTATAACATATAGTCTTCAATTCAGATGTTTAAGGTTAATTTTCAATGACGCTTCACGCCAGTTGTCAGAAATTTGAATTAAGATCAGATGGGCATGCTTAAAGGGTGCTCTTACTACTTTCTGACATGCAATGAAAAAATCAATATATCTTTATTTTAATAGCAGAAAAGAATTGCAGCCATATTAGGTACTCTATAGTGATTTATATTTACTTTCTCCTGACCAGAATTATTAACTTGTGTGTCAAAAAATTTGTGAGAATGTCAGAAAGTGGTAAGTGCACCCTTAAAAAATTTCATTTGTTTCCCTCAATTCTTTTTAATTTTTATGCACTTCTCGGGGACTATCTTTGAATGCCATGCCCTACGGGAGTAAATATACAACTAAGACAGTGATATTCTAGAAATTTGAGTCTGTCCCTAAAAATTTTTGATGGTAAATTTAAGGGAAAAATTTGTATTAATTGAGGGTAATTTTTTATCATTTTGATATCATTAAAGTCAATTACTATTCCAGAAGAGATACAGCGCTATCAACGCATTGTTAATTTAATTTGGGATAATGAAATAACAGAAAAAATGTCGATAATATAGTAAATCAACTTGTGTCATTTTACAATAACAACGAGACTAATCTTAAATTCATCCAGAATATGTTTTCTGTTTGCAAAGGTTTTCAAATAAAAAATGATCAGATTTTTGATGAAATTTTAACAAAATTTATCACAAAAGCATTAGCAAAACAAGATTCATCCATCTTTTTGTTACTAAAGGATATTAGAACTTTCAGATCCACAGATGATTGGCGGGATATTGATGAATTAAGGTTTGCAATTGCATTTCATCGAAATGATATTGTTGAAGACATTTTGAATACAGATTTCGATCTATTTCAACAAATAGCAACAATGGATATTCTTCAGTACATGAATTATCAAGTATTTCTTTTTGCAATCAAAAATAATATTTATTCAAATGCGCGTGATGTAAGATATTTAAATTATGATTTTGTACTCGTTAATCTATATCCAATGGAATTCTTCCAGTGCATTGTTAGATACGGATATGATGTTAATTTCTGTTATTTTCAATATTATGATCTATATGATCTTCTAACACAAGCTCTCGAAAATGAGAAATATGAACTAGCAAAATTTCTTGTTATTGAAGGTGCAAATGTGAATTCTAAACAATCTATATCATATGGATCAACAACATATAATTCTTATACACCTCTCAAATTTGTGGTAATATTGATATGGCAAAATTTTTATTGGCGCATGGTGCAAATGCGAATGAAACATTTAGATCTTGTGGATGTTTTCATCATACTGAAAAAAATATACTTGTATTTGCACCAAACATTGAGATGAGAAAGTTATTAGAGCCCTTGGTTAAAAACAAAATTCCATCTACTTGATTTTAATTTTTTATTAATTTTAACAGACTCTCTAAAAGGTTTTATAAACAATTATTAATAACAATAAACAATTAAGTAATTGCTGATAATCTGCTTTTTATTTAAAACGTGAAGATCTGTATTTTGTATAATTGATGTATGTGTATATATTGATATGTAATGTGCAGGCTGTAGAGCCATCAGATAATCTGTATTTCGCATTTCTAATACTCATTGGTTCATTTCAAAATTGAATAGATAAGAATTTTTTTTTAAACGTCCAGTAATCAAAAATTTGGAAGTTTGGACCTGGATTCACCAGTGATTATTTGATATCCTCAGATTGCAAAGCTTGTAGTGATTAATGTTGTTTTAAATAAAAAACTATTATCGATATCATTACTAACCAATATTGCTTTTTAGCATGTCAAAGCAATGGAAGAGGTGAGGAGAGAAGAACAAGAGGATTTCAATCCTATATTGGTTAGTGCTTACCACACATAGAAGCCAACAACTTGAAGATGAGAGATTCAAGATCATGGAAACTCTTGAAATGGTGAGGATATAGAGCACTGAGAAATTCTCTAAGAAAGGAGGAAGATCCAACCAATAATTAGTTTTATTAATTATAATTCTGTTATTTTTACATCATATTCACAATATAGATATAAATACTAGAATGAAATATGTATACATTTAAACGATTGATAGAGTGAGTTTTAGTATTGATTTACAGAAGATTAATAATTTGAATAGTTTACAAAGGTCACAATTAAAATTTTAAAGATATTATTATTCGATATATGATATAATACATGATTTAAAAAAAAAAAAAAAAAAAAAAAAAAAGGTATTGGGGCTTCCAGGGCTGCGCCCCTCTAGCCCCTGAAGATGTTTAGTATAAAACCGCTTTTTAACTTCACTTAAAATGCCACGTAAGATACGTAAGAATATACGTAAGAGGAAGGGAGCATTGAAACATCCAAAAGTAAAACTGACACCACAACAACAGTTGCAACAACAAATGCTGAATGACCCCACTATGTTGCAACAAATGTCAAGCAATCCTATGCTTTTAAACCGAGTTGTTGGTGCACAGAGTGGAGGTTTAAGAGCGGCACTTTTAGCGAAAATGGCAGGCTATGGTGGAGCTGCAGACGGAACAGCATATAACCCTCAAAGTCAAATGAATTTGAGTTCACTCAAAAATCAAATAACAGATGTCAAAAAGTCAAACATAGACATACAGAAGCAAATAAGTGAAAACGAAAAGAAACTAGAATATGACAGACACACAAAGAAACTCAATGAGTTAAACGTAGAGAAAAAGAAGAAAGAAGAACAACTGAAAGAACTAAGTACAGAGGAATATGCGAAAAAAGTGTCAGAAAAAGCAGCAGAAGTAGCAAAAATGGAACATGATGTCATAAATTTGAAAAACCATACTACTCAATATAAAATACTGAAAGATGAAGAGATAAAACAAAAAGCCCTGAAGACATATATGGATAGCGATGAGTATAAAAAAGAAGTTGAAGCAAATGTAAAGGCAGAAAAACTTTTACAGTTGCAAAACCAAACCGTACAGTATGAAAACTTAGCACAAGAAAGTAAAAATAACGACGCAGCCATGCAAAAGGCAATGAAAAGCGCAGAATATATAAAAGCTAACAATGACTGGTTAGATGCCCAAGCCAACGCTAAAGCAGCCCAGCTTATAGGGTCAATAAGGACAAAAATACAAGCGGATGAAGATAGTTCAAATGAAGCTTTAACAAATGCTGACTTTAAGAACGCTTTCGAAGCTCTTCATAGTAAGGTGAAACAAGTGAACGACTTCTCATCTGGAAAGAAACTGAAGTCTGAAGGTTTCGACAAAGAGTTAAAAGAAGTAGCACAAAATATGACGAAAATAACAGATGCAGCAACGAGACAGGCAGTTCAAAGTGCCTATGACGCCGTTAGAGCAACTGTTGTGAAAAGTCAAGAAAAAGAGTTACAACAGACCAAAACAGACCTAGTAAATGCTTTCTTAAGAACGAAAAGTCAGGTAGGACATTACGCTGCAGATGGAACATATGTGCCAGCTGGTGGAATTTATATACCACCAAACCCTCCAAGAGAAGCACCTGCACCAGGACTACCTAGAACATTTACATCGTCACATGGACACAGACACAGGCATGCACCAAAACCAACACAACAACCAGCACAACAACCACCTCCACAACCAGCACAACAACCAACACAACAACCAGCACAGCAACCAACAGTTCAAAACCCTGCACAACAACAACCACAAACAGAGCAAGGACATAAAAGAAGTAGAGAACAAGGAAACCAAGAATTCTTAAAAATGCTTAAAGAAGAGTGTGGTTTCCCAGATACTGTTGACTTTAGTGACAGATATAAAGAAGCTATTGGAAAGTTCAAGGATGGAAATACTGACCCGAACCTATTTAGCTTTATGGCTCAGCACCAAAACGGATATAATCTCAAACCTGGAAAATACAAGCTCGCTAAGGGATATGATTTAATAGCATATCATCCAAATGACATGGATGAATTTACTCCGAGATATTTGATGTCAGAGCTAAATGACAATTCAACTTTCGTCATGAAACGCGTAAAAAATAGAGACGGAACGAAAGAACAAAAGCTTATGAATGCGGATGACGTAGATAGGGAAATTGTTGAAAACGGTCTCGGAATATATGAAATGCCAGCAGATGAGGTACAAGAAACTCCACAGGAAGAACTAGTTCAGATACAACCAGACATGGAAGAAATAGTTCAGCAACAACAGCTAGAAGAGCCTGAAGGAAACGAACAAGTCCTTCCTTTGGAAACTAACTTCACAGAACTAGATGAAGATTTGGAACAGCCGAAAAATCTTGACCCTCAACAAGAGTATGCGGAGAATATGGAATATTTCCAAGAGTCTAAAAAAAATTCGGCTGACATAGTAGAAGAATATCGAAAAATGTTTGCCGACATACAAAAGACTCCAACACCAGATGAAAATATTCAGCATAGAATGGAAGAACTGAAAAAAAATGTACACAAATACAACAACCCTTTTTACTTACGAGCATTTAACGTTCAATCTTCGGATGAACTCGGTGAAGATAAAAGGTTAAATTTCAAGAAAACATATAGAAATGAAACATTGTTTAAAGTTCATTCAGAACCTAACCAAGATGGAAACAAACCTACTTTTGTTTCTGCAGACGATGGAACTACAATGAGATGGGGTCATAAAGCTAATCCGGATAGGTGGTTCATAAACTTACAACCTCAATTCCAAGAAGTTGTAGACGCAATGGAATTGAATGGTGAACGAGATATAGCTGGTATTTTAAGCGCGGCTTTAATGCCATTGAAAGATATGAAAGATGCAGATATTTTGAACCAGTATGAAATGAACATGGCTGATGGAAACATAACACCTGACGTTCTAGAACATTTATCTCAAAGAACTACACAGAACCATAGAGATGGTATATTTGGTGAAGAGTTTAGAAAGAAAGTTAGGGAGAGCGAAGGAAGAGAACCTATTGTACATGACCTTGCAAACGAAAGTTTACAAAATGTCATAAAAACTTACTTTGCAGACAATGAACCGAGAAGGGATGAATATTTAAGAAAACTCAAATGGACAGTACCAAATGAAATGTTAGTATTGAAAAACATGTTCCTTGACAAAATAAAACCAACTACAGAAATAAACGACGCAAGACTGAAAGATTGGGTAAAAGCTTTCCCATTCACAAAAGATATAGTTGGTAACATGGAAAGAAAACCAGAATGGCTACAAAAACATATATTTGGAAACGAGCATATTCCATATGGACAGGCACTGTTTGAAGAGCTTGAACCGGAAACTCAGGAAAGAGTCATGCAAACAATACGCGAAGACTCAAATACAGACTATGACAAACTCTTTCTAGGATATAGGTTACCTGAGATGGGCGACCAGAGCCAAAAGGCAAAAAGGACATGGGAAATTTGCAACATACTAGATGAACATAATGCAAAGATGCAACAACTTCAAGCAGAGGGCAATGAAGGAAAAAGAAGAGTTAAAAACTCAGTCAGGAAGAAAGTAAAGCTTGGTCGGAGTGGGTTCTATTATGACATATAAATCCAACTATTCTATATTTTTACTCATATGAAATGTACGCCGCTCAGAATATAACGCCAACAGTTTTGGATGCTATGAATGGAAATGTTTCCGAATGGTATAACGAATGCGACAATGCCATTAGAAGGTCAGAAATAGTTCCTGGAACTTACGAATATACAACTGCTGTTTCTTATGGAAACGTAGGTGAGTTTGGAGAAGGTTCTTCAACAACAGTAGATATTGCTTGCGACAGGTTTCATATAATTTCTATTGACAACTCTTTCTTATACGTGGAACAAGACATTGAAATAAAACCTTCTGCCAAGTTGTCTGACAAGAAAGGTTGCAATGGAATTTTCTATGTCGGATACCAATATGCTCCAGAAGTTTTTATGGGATATAAGATATATTCTAACTCTGACTTAGTTCAAACAGTAACATGGGCAAACTATGAATGGTTCGCTTTGAGAAACTCAGTACAACCACAAGCTAGAGAACAAACAGACCAGTATGCAACTATTGAGAAAATAAGAAGACTTGACCCTAACGTTCCAGGAGTTTATGTTAACCTTTCTGGACAAACTGCAGCAGCAGTAACCAAAGTAAAATTGAAACTTAGAGTTCCTTTGTCATCTTTCCTCATCTTCAGGTTTTTAAGATACTTGCCAAACTGGGCAGGAAAAATTTCTATCGAACTTACTCCAAGCAAAAATAACTTAGTCATTGCACCAACACAAGACCCATTCACTCTTACAGAAGTAGTGGGAACAAATAAAATGTCATTCGCCGACTTTTGCAAAAACAAAGTTGACTTAGACTTTGGTTTCTCAAACCTCAACACTGAAGTAAACTATTATTTCAATGCTGCTGGAGATGCTTGGGACCCAGTTAAGTTCACATGCGAAAAATTTGAATGCAAGAGAATAGAAAGCAGACTTGCAGTCTATATGTTGGACCCAGATATTTCAAATGCTTTAGCTGCCAAATATATTGCAGTTCCACTTATGTTCCCTATACACCAAATATCTGTCAAAGACTTTGCAGGTGAAGTTGGAAACCAAAGTGCTGACCCAGGTGCAAGAACAGATATTGCCTTAACAACTGCAATGAAACATGCAGATACTATGTTTGTACTGTTCAGACGAACTATAAATGACTATTCTTGCTTCTACAACCCCGGTATTAAATACCATATAAACATAGATGGCAAATACTATCCAAGAGAAGAATATTCTACAGTTGAGGATATGAGGTCATACAACTTGACATTAGATGCTATGAACTTTAACAACAACTTCACAACAACCATTAACCCTGAAATGCAAAGTTCTATTATGCCATATGTGAAAGTATGGACTCATACAGGAGGTCAAAAAACTCAATATACAAATGGAGACCGTTCAAACTTTTGGCTTGGCATTCCATTTGCTGACTCAGAAGACTTTATGGGTGGTATTTCAACTGTTGGTACAGTTCAAATACAATATACTGGTGACAGAGACGGTCCAAATGAATTGAAAGCAAAGAAGTTTACAAAACCAATAGCACTTTTCACGGAAGATGCTCTTTTGAAAATTCGTTCGATGAAACCTGCTGGGGCTCCTCAGATTGGTATAACGACAGCTTCCATCGAGCAGATTTTGGCAGCAGGTCAGTAAGTTGTTCTTGAACTGACTTCTCTCCGTCAAATATTGACAGTACGCCAGTTTTGACATAAAATTGTATTATAAACTTACCTTTAGAAATATCGGTCAGTTTTGTTGTTATATTTTTGTCTGCTTCAAGAACTTTCACCATCTCGGTTATACCAACTTTCTTTGCTTTATGAAAATATTTTGGTTCAGCAAAGACTGCTATTCTATAACATTTTCCATTGTTTGTATAAAGAACTATTCTATCAATGAACTTGTATTGTTTGTGTGTGTAAACTTTGTTTTGCTTCAATTCGAAGAGATACTCAAATACGTCCATCTTTTTATTCTAAGTAAAATGTCATTTCCGAAAAATAGAAGCGTAAGTGTTTCAAAAGGTTTAATGGCGATGGCAGATGTGAAGTTAAATTCACCAACTCAAACAAACAGTCAAAGTGTTGTTGTCAATGTCAAAGAAAGAGATGTTGAAGTGGGGAAACCATACGAAGACGAAGATGGTATAACAATAGTTCCTGTAAAAGAACAACCAACATACCCTGAAGTTAGCAGAGACTTAAGTTCTGTTGCAGATATTCGAAATGACTACAAGCAACTGAAAGATAAGCTTAAAACTCAGGAGAAGATTTGTCAGGCTTTGGGTATAATGTTAAACTTGGTTGAGCACAACCCTGTAAAAGTGAACTCATATGTCATCGCACCTCATGAAATTTTGAAAGAACTATTGAAACTTTTGACAGAGGCAGACGATATAAACATCAAAGAAATAGAACCCGACATTGCTTGCTGTGTGTTTCATATAATGTCATTGACAAGATATACGTTATGAAAGGAGGTGAAACGTTGAACTTAAAATATAGTTTCCCAGACGTCATAAAAATATTTGACGACCACAACATTTCATTAAAGTTTGTTTGCTAAGTAAAAATGTCAAAACTTCTTGAAAGATGTTTGAAGAAAAACAATATAGACTTTATTTTATGTAAAGGACTTTACACACTTTTGAACGATATGAAAGACCCTGTTTTGTTTGTTCGTGTAGACAAAGGAAAGTTCTATGTCTTTACAAAATATTTGAACTTCTTAGACAGAGAACTTCAAGAAACGCCATGTGAAAGTTTAGATGAAGTTCTTCTCCACTTTCAGAAAAACTTTTAAATATATGTAAATGGCAGAAGACATAGTGGTTTATACTATTACGACTAAAAACCCTGAGTCATATAATTCTATAACAACAAACTTACAAAGTCCTCAAGGACGATATTGTAAACTGACCTTAAACACGATGACGACTAAAGCCTGTTTTGCTCTTTTGACACCAGAAGATTTTATTGTTGTGAATGGTAAAAAATACTCCTTTGAAGATACTTACTCAGATATACCACCAACAGGTTTTGTTGACTTATTTAATACTTTAAGGACGGATGTAACATGTGCTGCAACTAGAGCAGGTTTCATTATGTTTGGATGTCCGACTGAGTTTAGTATAAACGATATGAGCTATAATACAAAACTTATATCTGGTTTTTACTACCAACAGTTTCCTATAACAGGAAAAGGTGTCATACAAGGAATGTCTGTTCCATTGACTTTAAGTACACCTATTTTATATATTGTTTCAAACTTAGGTTCAAAGTGCTATTCGAATGTCGACAGAAACTACTATGACCAAAAGATACTCATGCGTATAAACAACACTTTCTCTGCTGGTTTGCCTATTGTTCATTCGAATGCAGAGTTTTCAGCTTTAGTAAACTCAAACACTTTAGCAAACATAAACTTAACCTTAGTTGACGCAAACTTTGTTCCTGTAAAACTTTTATGTCCTATGTATTTGTCAATGACGGCAGAAAGTTTCGAATTGGAAGATGCAACTGGTGAAAGTATTGTACTACAAGAACAACTTCAACAACAAATAGCTCAAGAACAACAAATGCAACAAATGGAACAAATGCAACAACAAATAGCTCAAGAATAAAAAAAATATTTTTTTTTATTTTTATAAAAAAATGTACAGAATAGACGTTTCAGATTTTTATGACTTCCAAGCGTTCAGAAATATGTGTCCATTTCGAGACTATAACAAAGCAGTCGAGAATTTGAAACGTTTAGTCATTTATGTCGACTCTGCCCCAGAATGTTATGTCATGAAAGAATGGGATGTAGTCTTTAACAAACCAAGAGCGACAATAGTTTCAGAACAAGAATGTAAACAGAAACTTAAGAAAATAAAAGTCGTACAAGTTGGTATGAAGATGTTAGATGCTTGGGATATCTTATTGTCAAAGTTAGAAGATTTTTCAGTTCGTGGTATAAAGTTCTATACACCATCTCCAAACTTCTATTCTATCTTCACTGGATATAAATACGAACAAGTAGAATGGAAAGAAAATGTTATAGAAGCTTGGTTAGACCATGTCAAAGAAATTATATGCAATGGAAACGAAAGAGTCTATGAGTATATCTTATGTTGGTTTGCAAACATCTTACAACATCCAAGTGCTAAAAATGAAACTGCTCTCATCATAATTGGAAAACAAGGAACAGGTAAGAACACTTTCTTTACAGATATCTTATGCAAACTGTTAGAGGGCTATTCGAACCCTAATATGACAAACTTAGAAAACATCTGCGGTAAATTTAACTCTTCAATAGAGAATATGAAACTTATAGTATGTAACGAACTTCAAAGTATAGATACAACAAAAGTTTTGAACTCAGATGCTTTGAAGAGTCTTATAACAGACAAAGTTGGAGTTGTTGAAAGAAAATATAAAGACCAAAGAGTTTGTGAAAATGTTGCAAACTTCGTCATGGTTTCAAACAATGCCGTTCCGATGAAGTTAGAAAGTTCTGACAGAAGATATGTAGTTGTCAGAACGTCAGAAGCTCATATGCAAGATACAGAATATTTTGACGACTTAGCAGAAACTTTGACATCTGACTTTTACAACCACTTGTTCTCATATTTCATGACATTAGATATTTCTAAGTTCAATCCAAGACAAATTCCACATACCGAAGAGAGACAAACATTGTTAGAAGCAAACAAGAGTGTATATGAACTGTTCATAGATGAAACTGACTTTGAGTGTTTAGATGAAAGGTCATTGTACGATTCGTATAAACAATATTGTCAAGAATATGGTTATATGACAGCGTCTAAACGAACATTCTTGGCAAATGTCAAAAGTCTTTTAGACGTACAGAATGGTGTATATACAAAGAAAAATTTTTCTGAGTAAATTTTAAAAAAAAATATTTTTTTTATCCGATAGAAAAGATGACGAAATTCATCTCAGTCAACAAGTACATGTCAGGACTTAAAGAAGAACTAGACCCATTCACATATTTGAATGTTTACTTCTACCATTTTGAAAAGTCTACATTTGACAAAGTTTGGAACATCGAACCAGTTAAGTTTGCTATTGTGACTAAAAATGGTGCGAAATTTGAAGACTTAGACATAGAAGGTTTGTTAACAGTCAAAGAAAGTTTTGACAGAAGGTTCTCAAACCTTAAAGAAGGCAAAGCATACAAACTTGTTATACCTTATGAACCAAAGAAAGCAGACGACTATGAATATTATGAGTCTAAGATAGTTGAAGTTCAAGGTAAATTGGGTAAAAAGATTTTAGAGTCTAAGCCAGTGTTTGCTCCTAAAGAGGAAGAGAACATTGACATTGACCCAGAAATGTTCTAAAAATAAAATTTTATTTTTACATGTCATATCTCCCCTTCTCTGGCTCTGGTTCTTTCTTCTCTTCTTCTACTTTCTTTTCTTTCTTTTCTCTCTTCTTCTTCTCTGGTGGAGTTATGTCAAACTTCTCAGAACCATATTTTTGTAAAAGTGCTTTGTCATTTAATAGCTCTTCTATTCTGTTTTCTATTTCATTTTCAAGAACAGCGCATGTGTCTTCTTTGCATTCTAAGAAGTTTTGTTGGACTTCATCTCTCCAAGAGGCGTCATCTCTGTCAACAAGTCTGTCATTGACAAATTTTAAGACTTCTCTGCTTAAGGTTTTATGGTTCTTGTCATATTCCCAGAAACAGAACTTTAGAACAAATTCACCTTTCTTGTTTACACTATGTAAGATTTTATGGTCGACAGATGTTTTGCTGTCGAAAAGCTTGTCTCGAATATAGATAGCGAAATCGCTAGACATTTCCTAAAAGATAAAAATTTTAATTTTTCTAAAAATATGTTAGAAAAAAAGTTTGCTGACATTGACAAGAAATTTGAGAATGTTTTAAATAAGAACAAGAGGAAGTTGGAAAATGCTCAGATAAAACCCATACATGACAAGTTCTTATTTGCTCAGAATGGTATAACAGGTCTAATTGCACCGCCTGGGTCGGGTAAGACTTTCACTTATCTTAAAATGGCTGCACAACAACAAGAACTAGATGAGAAGAACCCATTCTATGAGTTAGTAGTCATTTGTAGTACTTCTGGTCAATTTGACCAAACCGTAAATTCGTTCAAAGATATTATAAAAAAGTCTAAGTTAGTATGTATAAAAGATACTGAGTTGTTAGATTGGATAAAGAAGTACCAAAGAAGAGTTTTGAAGTACAATGCTATAAATGAGTATGTCAATTCTAAGTTTAAAGACCCAAATGAGGAAATGCAGAGAATATTAGAGAAGAAACACTTCAGAAACAAACAGAAAGAGATAGAATACATTTCGAAGAAATTGCAATCTTACGATTGGAAGACTTACCCTCACAGATGTCTTCTTATCTTAGATGACTTTGCTTCTCATCCTTTGTTAAAGAACAGAGAACAAGACATGTGTCGAATTCTTAAGAAGCTCAGACACTTTAACATCTCTGTTGTCATTTGTGTACAGACAGCCAAGAGTTTAAGTAAGGATGTAAAGAGAATACTTACTGACATTGTACTTTTCCCCGGATTGTCCGAAGACGATTTCATGGAACTTATGAAAGAGTCCATGGCAGGTAAGTTTGACAGACATGAACTATGGGAGAGGTACAAAGTCATACAAGACTCTCATACTTCTTTCAGAATTCACATCTACGCGAACAAAGTTCAAATTGTAAAAAGTCAAGCGTAAAAATGTAAGTGTTTGAGTCTTAGTCTGTTGTGGTGCTGGGGCTGTCGGTTCTTCTGGCTTTGGAATGGACTCGGTTGGTGGTACGTCAGCCATCCGTTTGTGTCCTGTCGGATGGAAGGACTTTTCCTGTCGGAAGGAAGGACTTTTCCTGTCGGAAAGAAAAACTTTTCCTGTTGGAAGGAAAAACTTTTTCTGAAGGTCGGCCAAAAAGTTCTCAATTTTCGAAAATTTGAATGGTTTACGGACGGACAACAGAAAAAATTTTTCCTGTCGGAAAGAAAAACTTTTCCTGTCGGAAAGAAAAACTTTTCCAGTTGTCGGGAAATTTTTTTCTTGTCGGAAGGAAGGACTCGGAATGCCAGAAGGAAGGACTCGGAATGTCAGAAGGATTTGACAAGACAATTTACCATCTAGAGCTACCTGAAACATCTTTGGTGTCAAGCTTGAAAAATATATGGTTCATTTACTCTTCCTCTTTGAAGTTGTCAAAATACTCTGTTATCTTTTCTTTCAGTAGCGGCAAATCTTCTTTGAATGTAAGTATTGTACAACCTTTCATATCATAGTGTGTTTGAGGTAACGTATCTTGAACTATCTGTTTAACATCTTCATTTGGTGTCATTGAAATCGGTAAGTTTTCGCGATAGAACCAATTTCTGTCAGATTTGTAAATCTTAGCTAAGTCGTAAAAGCTTTTGTTGTTTCTTCTGACTAAATGCAACATAACCATATCTCTGTCTTCTTCATTTTCCATCTCTTCAGTGTAAATCATATACTTATAGTTCTTTTCCTTTCCTTTTGGTACCGAACGTGGTATTCTTTTCTGTATGTTTTTGTCTTTGGATTCAAGCTTGTTCTCTAGCTCTTCACGTTCTTGTCTATGAAGTTCGTCAAGAAGTTTACAAACATACCATGAATAGCGAGCTGAAGCCCATTGTGCCACATTATTTACAAGAAGTCTATGTACATACCAACCTCTCAAACCATTTGGCAATTTTTCACGATTTTCATGTGTTTTATGCAAGACCGAGAATTCTCGGTCTAGAGAAATTTCACTCAAAAGTTCTTGTGTGCTTTGGTTCCTAAACCAGTCTTGTGGTTTCTTAGTATCTGGAGCAAAACATGCTGTCAAAATACTTTGCATTTGGTACATGTCATCTTTGACCGAACGAATGAGACGTAACTGTTTGTTAAACTGAACCCACTCGTATTCTTCACTTATGGCTTCATGAACGATAGCAGTTGTTGTGTTCTCTGTTGTTGTCATATCTGTCTTTACATACAAAATAAAAAATAAAATAAAAATAAAATTAGCGTTATTTTCTATCTTGTATAAAAGACCAAAAATAAACGCTTTACATGTATTTTTCAGCAACTTCGTCAAATACTTTTATAGCTTTGTCGATCTCATCTACTTCAAACGTTTCTTTACCTCTCATGGGAGCACCATACATTTTCTCAAACTTTTCAAGTAGTTCTGTTTCAGCAGCTCTCATATCGTTAACAAACGCAACCTTAACTCTATTGACTGTACTGTCATATCTTTGAGTTATATTAAATGTTCTTCCTATCTTATATCTCTTTGTATTGAAGTCCTTCGGTTTCTGAACGATGTAAAGTAAGCCTTCACTGCAACGTTCAGTATCGAATGAACCATATGTTATGAAATTATATCCAACAACTGGGTCAATCCAGAACAAAACTACTGGTATAAGACTTTTGTCGATGAGATATGCTCTTGTTCCATAGAATCTTACCGATATCATAAGCTCAGGATTTCTTGTCAAAATTTTCTGAGTTGAAGCATTTCTAACCCAGTCGTGTGCTTTCTTTCCTTCAGATAGTGTTAAAATGTCTGACAAAGAATATTTTTTGTATTTCTTTGAGTATCTTACGTTTAAATCACCAATTCTAACCACTTTGGTCTCATTGTCTATCTTTCTAACTGTTTCAAACTCAGTGCTTGTCATTTCCTGTTCTTACATACAAAATAAAAAAATAAAAAAAAATAAAACTAACGCTATTTTTATTTTTTCTATCTTGTATAAAAGATATGATTTCATAGAGTTTTTTTACTGTTTTCATGAGTTTTATGCAAGGCCGAGAATTCTCGGTCTAGAGAAATTTCACTGTTTTCATAGAGTTTTTTCACGATTTTCATGTGTTTTAGGCGACCCCGAAAAAAACCGGGGTCGCAAATTTTTACGATTTTCATAGAGTTTTGGCGACCAGGGTTTTTCTCCCACTCGCATTTTTTCACGATTTTCATGAGTTTTAGGCGACTACGATTTTTTCCGTACTCGCATTTTTTTACGATTTTCGAATGGAATCTCGACCCGCGGTTTTCCGCCGGTCGCATTTTTTTACGATTTTCGAATGGAATCTCGACCCGCGGTTTTCCGCCGGTCGCATTTTTTTACGATTTTCGAATGGAATCTCTACCCTCGGTTTTCCGAGGGTAGCATTTTTTCATGATTTCAGGGATTTTTTTTACGAAGAGTAAAAGTTCACTTCGTCAAAAAAATACAGTTATATCATGAAATTTGGTCATTTTTTCACGATTTCATAGAGTTTTTTTGACGAAGTGCAAAAGTTCACTTCGTCAAAAAAATACAGTTATATCATGAAATTTGGTCATTTTTTCATGATTTCATAGAGTTTTATGCAAGGCCGAAAAAAGTCGGGGTAGCAAACATATGAGGAAATTCATGAAATTTGGTCATTTTACTCAGCAAAAATATATTTTAGGTGAAGTGGTGAGATCTCACCTGTTTTCTCACCTCTTTTCTCACCTCTTTTTCACAAGCGTTTTACATGAATTGTACGATGTATATTTGAAATCCTAAACAGTTTTGTAGCTTCTATTTCTTCTGTCAGTATGTCAAAAGTTTTAACAATGCCGAATGTTTCTTTATATTTCTTCTTGACATCAGATAGAAGGAAATCGTCAGCTGTTGGATAGTTTTTGTTCAGAAATGTCAACATGTCCATTTTATCTTCTGCTGGTTTCTCTGCTTCTTTCTTTAAATCTGCATAGTCGTTTCGCATACGTTCTATCTCTTTGACGGAGTAGTTATATTTCCTCATTGCTGCTTTACATTTTGAACATTGTGGGTTCATTTTAGCATTGTACATTGAAATAAAACCTGCAAGTACAACTAAGGCGTCAATGGTTTTCTTTAACTCAAAAGTTGCTGGTTTTATCTGTTCGTTCCATACTTTACCTCTTTTATCTTTATCTCTTATCTGCCATACACATTTTGCAACTAACGAAACAAAGTTGTCGTAGGTCTTAAATTCTTCAGATTTGTATATGTCAGAAACATTTTTATATAACATGTCGCAATCTTTGTCCATGACTTTGTGGTTGCAATGAAATCCAAGAAACTCATAGTTTACCTTACGTATGAACTTCTTGGTTTCTACTGAGTCAGTTGCTTTGACTTCTATTTCATCGAATTCTGGAATAGTGAGCTTTTGTTGTTGTATTTCAGGAAGTTTAGGTAGATGGTCAATAATATCCTGCATTTCATAAAGATATTCTTCATTTGTTTCATCTTTCGCACTACAGTCTAAATCTCCTTGGAGAAGTTCTTGCTTTATCTTCTGGATTTCTGTTTCGAAAGTATATGAAGAAGGAATGAAGCTTTTCATCTCTACTAACATTGAAGTTGGGTTCATGACTAACGAGTTTGGTGCTGTTGTTGCTAACATGTTCTTACAATAAAAATAAAAAATATTTTTTTAAAAAAACTAACTTTTTATTTTATTTCGGGAAAATTCATGAAAATTCAACGGGTGAGAAAAGAGGTGAAAAAACAGGTGAGATCTCACCACTTCACCTAAAATATATTTTTGCTGAGTAAAATGAGTTTTGGTTGAAAAAACAGGTGGAGCCAAAAATGGCTCGACCTCAAAACAAGCATTTCGTGAAGAATATACCAACCCGCGGAATTCCGCGGGTTGCTTTTTATACAAAACATTGACGAAGAAGTCTCAACAAAACAAGCATTTCGTGAAGAATATACCACCTGCCGGAATTCCGGCAGGTGCTTTTTTTATACAAAACATTGACGATGAAGTCTCAACAAAACAAGCATTTCGTGAAGAATATACCACCCGCCGGAATTCCGCGGGTTGCTTTTTATATACAAAATTCAAGAGTTTTGTGTGTTTTCTACGATGATAAAAATAAAATGGTTCATTTACTCACAATATTTTTGTACAAAACGACCCCAAACTTTTAACCTCTCTTCTGCAGCTTCTAATGAAACTTTAGCGAGTTCATATTCTCTAAATTCTCTCTTTAAATCTTCTTGTTCCCATTGGTCTAGTTCGTATGGAGAGTCTCTATAACCAGAACATATCTCACGTTCATGTTCTATTTGTTTTTCATGCATTTTTCTAACTTCTTCTTCGAACAAAGGTTTAGCATTCTCTGCTGTATCTTCAAGTTCTTCTTCATCTAATTTCTCATGAACTTTCTTGTCTATGGAGTCCAGAATTTTTCCAACTGCTATGCAATATTTTGGAGAAGCCCACATTGCTATATAGTTTACGAGTCTTGGGTCTACATACATTCCTCTAACCTGTTTGATTTCATCGGGAATTCCTGCATGAACTGTGTATAAAAAGCAACCCGCCGAATTCCGCGGGTTGGTATATTCTTCACAAAATGCCTTAAAATACTCTTCCCAGGACTTATTTTCCAACAACCTTCTAAAGTCTTTCCTAAACTGCTGACATATCTTTGTTGCATTTATATAACCATCCTTGTCTCTACGTAAGACTTCAATACCGTTGTAAGTGCCTTTTGTGAATGTTTCGCCATTAGATTTGTTCGTGAACGTTTTTGCTTCGACTGTCATACTGTTCTTACAATAAAAATAAAAAATATTTTTGGCTTAACCGTCGGACATTCGTTTGTGGCTTAACCGTCGGACCACAACGATAAAAATCTCATTTTAACTCACTTTTTTTTCTATCTTAAGGAAATTCATGAAAATTCAAGAGGGTGAAAAAACAGGTGAGAAAACAGGTGAGATCTCACCACTTCACCTAAAATATATTTTTCAGTACTTTTTCAGCACTTTTCCGTAGTTGTATATGAAAGACAATTCGAGATAAAAGTCATAGTACAATGGTATTATATGCTGCACACCGTTTGTTGTGAACCATACTTGAAAGTCAGAGAAACTGTTACTAGGTGGTTCGTAGAATTTAGAAGCAAAGTCATAAAAGTCCTTACCGATACATAGAAAACTGTTGTTGCTTGAACTGAAACTTGCATGACACATGACATTTTGAGGGTCAAACACGTTTCTATAAACTGTCAAATCTGCTGGTGGAAGTACAAATTTAAACGGACCGTCAGGTGGTAATGGTTCGTTCTGGTTTAGTAACCGAAGAAATTGTGCCCAAGAACGTCTGTCCACCCCCCAATATAAAAACTCTGTATCTCTTGGAGGGTTATTTTCAATCCTTTGAAATGAAACTGTGGAGTTCATCTTGTCGTATTCTAGCTTCAGATAGTATGTTCCATTTAGTAAAGAGTCGTATTTTTCTTGAAATTCCCAGTAGTATTTGTTTATTTGAGTTTGAAAGTCATTTAGAGTTTTCTCAAGACTTTCGTCTGAACGAATTGTAAAGATTTTCATTTCGTCAAATCTTTCTATTAGACCATCAGAGCCTTTATACTGACCATGAAAATATACTGCGAACATAAAAGCGTTAGTTCTATTTGAAAACAAAACTCTTCTAAATCCTATTGCCTTTGCATCTGAAGGACTTTGAAGCCAGCGAATTGGATAGTTAAACCGATAAGATCCGGATAAAATTTCTTCATCTGATATAGTCCTACCAGCGTTTGTGAAGATATAGTCTAACGGTTTTGTATCTGCTACTTTTGTTCTTTGTTTTTCAACCTGAAGCATTTTATATATGTAAAAATATACTGTTTTAAAAACGTTTTAAAATGGTATGCCATATAGCTTCTTGAATTTGTTAAGAAGTATTTTAACGCGTTTTCCATCTGTATCTCTAGCGTTTACATAAGCATAGCCATCCTTAGTAAAATATACTTGTAATTTCCTATAGTTTACGCCGGTATAAAAGTAGAAAGAGTCTTGTTCTTCGCTATAGTAGTGAAACTCAAGCGTATGCTTACCATAGTCTGTAATTTCAATTGCTTCATCTTCTAGTTCGTCGACAAATTCGAATACAATATCTCGAAATTTGCCTATGTTCTTATTGTTTTCAGAACGAGTGACCCAACGTAAGTTTTCAAGTCTATTGTCGTTTCTTATATGGTTTATATGGTCTACAAAAGGTAAATTGTTAGGATTCGGTATAAAATGAGTTGCAATGACAATATGTTTAAAATAGTGTTTTCCACCCATCTTCATCATAGCATATCCGTTATTTCCCTCCCATTCGCTTAAAACTCTTTTTGTCTTTTTGTTTCTGACTTCAAATGACTCACAACAGTGAATTTCATATTTCTCATCTAACAAACAAGTTTCCCAACGGTCCTTTCCGACAGACTCAGCGTACATTTCAAATAAAATAAAAAAATATTTTTTTTTAAAAAAATGTTTTAAAAAATGTTTTACTATTTCATGCCATGTTTTACTTCATGCCATGTTTTATTTCATGCAATGTTTTATTTCTGTGCCGTCTTCAAGTATACCCCAGTACTTACGCTTGGAGAGAACATGAACTTCGGAAAATACCTTGTCTAGCTTAAAACAGCCCATCCTTTCACCGACTAAACCCATTTCAATGAGTTTGTTATAGCCTTCCTCGTTCGTCATGAGTGCATCGATGTTCTCATAGTATACCTTCACTTTGGATTTGACATCGGAGAAAAATTTGTTGTAGTTGTCAAGGACTGCTTTTGCGAACTGAGGATAAGACCAATGTTCGACAATAGGTTTTACTGTGGTTACTAAGCCATTTTGACCTTCGGTGAATTCGTACTTCAAAACAAAAGGAGAAAACCTTTCAACAAAGTTGTCGACCTTCTCATAGTGTTTACTCTTCATCTTTTGAGGTTTTTTAATGGAATATCCCCATGTCGAATTCATAAGCAATTTGATTGTCATTGCAAGTTTGGGGTTTGAAGCTTTCCTAATATCATATAGTTGTTGTATGACTTTTCCAACTGTATAGTTCCTTCCCGGGAACTCGCCATTTTCGTTTGGAATTCCAGTCGGGATATATTGGACGAACCTCATGTACGCAGCGTTAAGGTCGACATAGTATATTTTTTCGTATGAGTCGAACTTGTCGCATCCAATGGGTCCGGTTCGTGGAAATTCAAGCGAGTCTCTTATCTTCTGAGAAACTTCTCCTGTTATCTCATAAACATCGTCGAAGCAACCTGTTTCATATAAAACCTTCTGACCTAACTCTGATGCTCTCCAATACAATTTGACGTCGATCGGATGTCTCAATGAAAGTTTGTTTATAGCATCTTGAAGTTCTTGCAACCTCATTGGAAGTTCTTCTGGTTCAGGTTGGTATCCGAACAATCCAACTCCTTTTGGAGCTGTGTACTTCTTTTGTGCTAGAACTTTGTCTGGAACAACTTTTGGTCTTACTAACAATGAAAAGTTTGTTTCGTCTTTTGGTACAAAAGTTTCTGTCAGCTTGTCATCTGGAATCGGTTCCAACAAACCTTTCTCGAAAAGAATGTTAACAGCTCTGACAATGTTGCATTTACCTTTTCCGAACAACGGGTTTGTAAGACTTTCGTTCAACATGAAGTGGTTGTGGAGAAGTACAATCTTCAACCATGGTAAGTCTTTGTCAACTACATAGTCATCGTGTGAAGAACCTTTCTCAGTCGGAATGTTGACTCGGATATTCACATTTGCCAACGGTGCAATCTTTGCCAATTGACCTCTGAGAATGTACCTTGTCTTCACACATGACTCAAGATACTTCATCTTCTCATCTGTAACAAGACCAGAGTTCCTGAGACATGTAAGAATACAAGGTTCATTGACAATTTTTTCAATTGAATTGTAAATTCCATACCTTGTCAGGTTAATGTCAGACTTGTTTATGAACGGGAAATATCCAGCATGTTGTCTGACTGCTTGAGGGTTGGGTTGGTACCATTCAAACTTCACGCTTGCAATTCCTTCAATCGCATTCAAGATGTCTGAGTCGGAGTCAAACATTTGTTCTCTCTTTGTAGTCTTGAAAGCGTCAAGAAGTTGTGCGGCTGTTGCGACATTGCCATGCGCATAGTATATATGACCATCCAAATCTGTTACGGTTAGTCTGAGATTGTATCCTTTCTTATTTCCGTCTTGTATGGCAGCAAGTACACCCATGAAGCCTTCTTTGTTCTTTCCTTCTTCAAAGTTTACTGTAAAGGTTCGACCAGATGTAATTTTACTTCTAACCTCGCGATACTTTTCATATGCATATCTTGTTCTTTCCATGGGAGCATGTGTGTCTTCACCCCTCCCCTTTTTCCGTCTCAAGGGATGCAATTGTTCGTTATGTTTCCAGTAGAATCTGGCAAAGCCGTCGTGTCCTTCAACTTGAGGCTCAGTAACATTGAAAGGCATGTCCATAAGACGCTCTTCTTCTAACCTCTCTAGTCTGTTTGGATAATTTGTGCGCGCTGTTTCTAAGTCCATTTCATAGGTCAGACCAGCCAGTTTGTCATAGACTTTTATTGGCTTTCCCTTCCTATATTTAAACTTCTTTGAAACTCTCCAGCCATATCTTTCTAACTCTGCTTTTATTCTAGCAGACCTTCTGTCCATTCTATACGGGGGCATTTTTATAAAAATAAAAAAATGTTTTTTTCTTTACTTTACATAAGCACTTGCTGCCATAAGTCTTTGACGCCAACCCATACCAGCTAATGAAGGTTGACTTGGTTTAGTCTCCAAACTAAACTTTGGTTTTGGTTTTTCTTCAGTTTTTGGCTTCCCTTCTTCTATCTGTTTTTCGTCACTTTTCGGTTCATTTGACTTTACCTCACTTGCTGGAATAGTAGTGTCGTCAACATCTTCATAAATGTCATATGCCATCTGTTTCTGTTTTCCTTTCAACTTTTTGTGTTTGTTGTAAAGTTTAGAATATTTCGACTCTAAGTCAATGAGATGTTCTATAATGAACTGTTGGTCAGTGAAGTAAACTTTTCCATCTGTTGTCTCGAAAATTCCTTCAGACTTCAATATTTTATTTGTGAGAGTCTGTTTCTTTTTTGAGATACTTGCCGTTCCATTTTTATGAAAAGTGACTTTGTAGTTAGGGTTTGTATTTCCAGACCTCACACTTTCTATTATTGAATTTTTCTCTTCATCTGTAAGTTCTTTGACAGGTTTTGACAATGGTTCTGAACTTTTTGTTTGTGGTGTCAAATCTACCGTTTCAACTTCTTCGGTCATTTCATCTCAGTAAAAAATTTTAGTTTGGTTTGTTTTCAACTGGTTGTTGTTGTTTTTTAAGTCGGTCTAAAACTTCTGAGGTATAGGAGACTTGACAAACACGTGGTTGTGTAACTGCTGGAAGCCGACAAATCCATCTTGAGCCCATTTGTCTCAATGCTGTATTGTTCATTTCATCTCAGTAAAAAATTTACATTCCCCACGTTTGAGGCGGTTGAGGTTGGTTGTTGTTTACCCACTGTTGTGCATGGTTATATCCTCTGTTAAAGAATCTTTCACCTTGGTCCATGTAGTGCCCTGCTTGGTTATAGTAGTCATTTGCTTTGTTATAGTAGTTTCCTGCTTGTCTTCCTACATTGTCCATCCATCCTTGAACTTTTCCTCTTGTTTCAGGATTTGGAATAAGATTTGCTGCATCTCGTGCTACCTCCCAACCTTTCTGTACGGTTTGTATAATAGGTTGTGCTTTCTCTTTCAGTATACCTAATGTACTCAAAATCTTCCTTCCAATTCCAAATGCACCTCTGGCTATTGTTCCCACTGCGGGTAAAAATCTAGATGCGACTCCTGCTAATGCGCCAAATAAACCCATTTCTTATGGGTTAAAAATGACGAATTCAAACAAGGACCCGTATGTTTCTAAAGCGACAAAGAAAGCACTCATGGTAAAAATCTTTAGTTCAACACCAAATGCTTGGTTTATGGATATCTTGGAAAACATTCCGAGATATAGAGAAGATGGACCACCATACTGGCTAATATTTGTTGGTCAAAACACAAGATACTGTGAAGCCATACCATTATGGTCCAAAAATATTTTAGATGTGAAAACTGCTTTGACAATATTCGTTGACAAATACCATCCAACAAAACTGACATCTGACTGTGAAAGTTCTTTCAAATCAGACGATATTAAAAACTATCTGCGTTCAAAAAATGTAAACCAATATTTCATTGTCGACCAAAACCATTCTGCTCTTGGTGTCATTGACAGTTGTATAAAAATCTTAAGAGACTTAAACCAACCACAAGGTGGTGAAGTAAATGAAATGTCATATGACGACAAATATAGACACTTCTCCATGGCAAAGATGAGACAAGTTTTAAATATTTACAATAACCGTAAACAAAAAGGTTTGGGAAACCACTCCCCCGAAGAAATGAAAAACAACCCTGACTTAGAGAAAGACTATATATTTAATAGTTTAGTCAAAAGAGACAAACAAGAAAGAATGCCAGGCTTCAAACTTAAGAAAGGTGACAAAGTAAAAATAGAAATACCTAAACGCGACCCATATGAAAATACTATTGACTATGACAACAATGGGAACTCGACAGGTACTCACATTCGTGTTCGTAAAAATAGAAGAAAGTATACAAGAGAATATTATGAAGTTTTAGGCAAACATGGCAAAATGTACAGACTGCAAGCAGAAGATAAAACTACTATTGTCAGACCTCGTTTCAAACTTGTTAAGGTTCAAGGTGGTATACTTTCAAAGACAGTTCCTAACAAATATAAGACAACTCCTGACGAATATGCTAAAGAAGTTGAAAATGACGACTAAGCATTTCTATACCATGCGTAAACTGTCATGTAAGGTGGCATGTAGTCTTTACTCTGTCCCGTTGTTTCTGTATATCCTGTAATGCGATGTGTATGGCTTCCTCCTCCCTGAGTGTCATCCCAGTAACAATTTATAGCAAACTTAACGTCGTCTTTAACATCATATCCTTTACCTTTTGTCATTCCTGTCCAATCCCAATATCTATGCTTATGCCAACCTGCTTCAGCTGTAGTTAAATTTATGTAATGACTGTGTGCAGGTAGGTTTTCACCTGAAATCGTTTTACTTCCACCTGTTTCCTTTGAAGAGTTTGCACAATACAAAAACCTGTCGACTATTTGAGTCCAAGTTCCGAGACCAAGTACTACTTCTGGTCTGGTAGAGTTCATTGACGTGTAAATAGAACCTATAGGATATAGTGTTTGAAGTATTTCTGTCTTTAATGTTTGAAGCTCTGTTTTGTCTGCTTTCTTATATAACTTTTCTTCAAGTTCATTTACGTCAGAGATGCTATGTCTATGATATTTTTGTGGGTATGTTCCTTCTGTCCATGCGAAAATATACTCTTTTGTTGCATCTACATATCCAGCTATCCATGTCGAGTCTGCTTTTGTATTCCTTAACTCTGTAACACCTTTCTCAAGCTCTTTCAACTGTTGTCCATCTTCCATTAAACCTCTGGTATGACTTGAAACCGTTTGTGTCAACATATCTACAGTTTCTTTGTCGGCTTTAAGGTCTAAACATCCTGAAACCCACCCTGTATTGGCTTTACCTTCTAAAATCTTCGATGTCCGTTCATGGTACCATTCAACCCTTTTTATAATTTCATTGTCTTTTTCATCCACATATTCCTTATCTGCCTTCTTCACTAACCCACTAGCCAGATATGCTAACTCATCGTCAACATACTCTTTGTCAGCTTTCTTTTCAACATCCTCTTTTGTTGCATATGTTGCATCTGCTCTGTCATGTTCTTCTTGAACTTTTTCAATGACATACTCTTTGTCAGCTTTGTTGTCAATATCTGCCTTCAAAAGAAGTTCATCTATAGGTTTCTCGTTTAAAGTTCCTTTTGTTGGATTTACACAGACAGTATGGTTCTTACTGTCTTGAAACAGAAACTCATCTGTCATTGGGTTTATCGTCAGTTTTAAGTTTCCTTCTTTCAATGACTCAGATATCTTAGAATAGTTTGAAAAGTTTGTTGTGTTCTTATTTAGAGCTTGCAAAATGAGTTGTCGGTTGTGTTGTATTTCTCTCATAGACGCTGTTTCTTTCGACATTTTTATTCTAGATAAAATATGCTTTCAATAGAAAAAGAAAATTCAAGAGTTGCTACAACTAAACCATTAGATGAACTTTTTACGAATGTCGGTCAAAAGTTTGAGACAGAGACCGTAAAACATGAAGGCTATCGTTTTGACTACCCCTTAAGATGGTTAAGAGACCCATCCGTCACAAAAGCTATTGGCTTTCGTAGAATGAAGTTCATTTCAGAAGCCATACATGGTTTCCCATTTACGGTCGCTTTTGAAATTCGATACTATAACAAAGAAAAACATACGTATGAGAAATTTGAACAGGGAAAACTTTTACAAGTGAATTTGCTTGTAAACTTAGAAACAACTCTTCAAGCTTTTCAAGAAAAAATAAACGATATCTATCTCGAATATGCAAAACAGTACAACATTGACGAAGGAGAGTACCATCTCGATATTATATATGACAGGAAAAATGCAACTGTTAAAATCAATAGAATAGAAGACCTTGGAGAAGACGTTTATATTTCTACAAAATATAACAACTTGGCATGGTATAGATTTTTGAGGATGTTAAATCATCCTGCAGCATATCCAGTACACCCGAACTTTTATGAAGTCGAAAACCCTAATGGAACATATGAAAATGTTTTTGACTCAGATGCTATTATCGTTCATGCTTCATTTTCTGGTGCACAAAACTCTTTTTTATGCTTGGCAAATGACTTTTACGAAAAACCTACAAAGCTATATGAACCACCAAGTGGAAGTATTTCAGACTTTCAAGTATGGTTTACTACAGATGGAAGAAAAAGAATAGTTCCATTATACCATGCGTTTTACTTAGAACTTAGTTTCATATACAACTACTATCGAACGGTAAAAATATAATCTTTTAATACGGTTGAGGTGTTGGATTTGGTTGCCAACTAGACTGTGGTGCAGGTTCAGGCTGTTGTATAACAGGAGCTTGTTCTTCTGGTTCAGGGTCTTTAGGTATAATACCAACGAACTGACCTACTCTTTTACCAATATTTTTGACTCCGTTCCAAATTCCTCTTCCGACAGATTTTATTCCATTCCATATACCTCTTCCAACATTTCGAAAGAAGTTTCCTATTCTTCCAAAGAAACCCATTTTACTATATGTAAAAATCTAATGTCCGCCTAGTCTCTTACGTTTCCTGTTGAGTTCCATAGCATTCTTTAACTGGAGCTCATACATTCTATTTCTCCTCTGGTAGAAAACATATTCCGGGTCAACTCCTGTGTTCGCGTCATCTGCATAGAGTTGTTTATATCCCACTTCAGGGTTTGTATAAAACTCTTTCCATCTCATATTTGCATACCATGGTGGTAAGCCTAACGCAGCGTCATTTGACATGGCAGTTTGCATTTGTACATCTGTTGGCACTTGACCATAGTTTGCCATTGCAGTTTGTATTCTAACTTCATTTGGAATATTCTCTGGGTTTGGTTGTCCAGGTTGCTGTGCATTCGCTAAGTTCTGTGCGTCCATTTTAATATTAGATAAAAATATCTCTTACGAGTACATATGCTGAACATTTGCTGGTATTGGTTCATCTTCATATTCTCTATATCTTTCTGCCACGTCAAATAAGTAAATGACACAATGGAAAAAACCTAAAACAAGTAGTCCTATTTCAAACCACATTTACTTACCAATAAAATTTCTTTGTTGTGACACTTTCTCCGGTTTATAGGACCTCTCTCATATTCTATCTTATCGTATCTAAACTCATAGTCATGTATATCCTCTAACCATCTCATAACGGTTTCCAAACCACTTTTATCGGATGTAAAGTAAAAGCATGGATGGTTATGTAAAACGTCTAAAGTTTCTAAAGAGTCTCTCAAAGTCCAGTCTACTTGGTATTGAAAATCGTATGTGTTATAGAACGGTGGGTCTACTATAAAGAAAACATTTTCCTTGTTTTTATATTTTTCATACAACTCTGTCCAATGACATCTCACAAACTCTATACCCTCAGTATATTTTTCTATGTCCTCTTTGAAAACCTTTGTATAGTTAAGATATAAAACGTTTGACATAAGTGTTTCAATGTCATGAACTCTTATAGAACCACTATATAATAGTCTAGAAGATATACTATCCCAGTCAATATACTCTGCTTTTTTCAAAACCTCTCTGACAGTATTTTTCTTATCTAATGGTATACGTTCCATCTTACCTATAGGTATCTTTTCTTTTAACTCATTCAATATTTTGTTAGTGTCTGGTATATGTTTGAGACGGTTCATATAGTTGTCGAAGTCATTGCATATAATCTTTGAGTTTGGGAATACAGTATGGCACAGATGGGATATATAGAAACTTCCACCGAACAAATCTACAAATGTTAGACCATTCGGTAGTTTCTTAAGTTCTCTCAATAGAATATCTTTACATCTACTCTTATTTCCAAAGAAGGGTAACGGTGGTTTTGTAAAATTCATTTTATATACAATAAAAATGTTTTTACCCTGAAAAGCTACAGAAAAGTGACAAAACATGAAAACTACTCGGTTAAGGTCTTGTCAGTTTTGTAAAATAACCATCCTATCTTGTTAAGACTTCCTGGACTGTTGTCAAAATGTCATGTTGTCTCATTTTTTCAGAGAAGTTCGTTTAACCGAGGGACCGAGGGACCGAGGGACCTGGTGACGTAGCGACGATAGACCCTTACTTGTCCGGACATAGTTCTACTATTTTGAGTCCTCTACCGAAAAGTTAACAGCAACGACTTTCAAAAATTTTAGGGGCTAGAAGGCACGAAGTGCCTGGAAGACCCCACCACACCCCAAAAAACCTCATTTTAGACTTCATTGCATACTAAACATCTTCAAGGGGGTAGAGGGGCGCAGCCCTGGAACCCCCAATACCTTTTTTTTTTTTTTTTTTTTTTTGATTTTATAAAATCTTGCTAAAATTTTATACAATTGATGGTCGAAGAATTGAAATCCTGGATCCATACATTATTTAGATCCCAAAATCCAGAAGAACAACAACAAGCCGATCAATTAATCACAGAGTTCCTTCAAACTCCTCAATCACTTGATGCTGCCTTTCAATTGTTCGCATCCTCTCGAGGAACACCTGGTGCAGAGCTTTATCAACGATCTGTAGCATTATATCTTAAGCGAATTATTGTTTACAATTTAGATTTCTTTAAATCAAATGGCTTTGATCAAATCAAACAACAATTATATTCAATTCTTGAAAATACATCCGATGTTTATCTTACAAAGCAATTATCACGCAGCCTTGCACCAATTATGACATCAATTCCAACAAATTGTGGCGAATTTTTCGAACTTGCAGGCCAGCTTATAAATACACAAGAAACACAAAATGTTAGCAGAGGCTTATACATTTACATACCACTTTTAGAGAGTATTCCAGAAGATTCAACAACAGAATTTTATGAACAGATTTCTACTATTCTTCCAAGCTGTTTTATATCTCAACAACCTGATATTATCGAACCAGCATCAACCATACTCAAACTTTGCTTCTGTTTTGCACCAGAACTTGGAGATTCTCTTATACAACCACTTCAAAGCCTAATACAAATATTCTCTCAACTTCTTCATACAGAGTCAGCATCATGTAACTTCATTGCATCTGATTTAGAGGACATTTTCACTTCAGATTTTCCATTTGATAATGTTTCTCAAATTTACGAAGAAATTTTACAATTGGCCAACGACGAAACAGTTTCTGTTCGAATGAAACTTCATCCCATCAGTCTTGCATCAACATTGATCTCTCACAACAGCGAAATTAGAGATAAAGCATCAGATTTACTCTCCGTTGACATTAATTTCGCCATTACATCCTTTGAACAAGCATTACTAAATGACCAAGAGTTCGTCAGTATCTTCATTGAGCCAATAACTACTTTGTGCAACGTTTGTTCGAAATATGAGTTATTAGATGTAATTATACAAGCCATCCAAACAGAAGAAGGGTTATCAGAAGCAACTCTTGTAGCTTATTCCCTTGCTCTTTCTGAGATTTGTAACTTAGGTTGGGAAGTTGCAGCTTCAAAAGTCCCAACAATTCTCAATTTCGCGATCGCTTTGTTACATTACGAAGGTGACAACCAAATTACGACCATTTGCGTCATTGAATCCGGTTTTGACTTAATTATTGAATTATTTTCTCATATTAATCCAAATTACAATGCCGTTCAAGAGGATGTCTTCACAGTTATTGTCAACGCATTGCAATTAGAAGGAATTCCATCATTACACGTTCGAGCTGTCCATGCATTAGATTATCTTTTTGCTGCAACGAGTATTTCATCGGATTTGATATCACAGAGCTTCGAAATACTCAGTACCATTGTTCAAACAGCTGATAAGGACCTCCTCAAGGCTACAATTGAAACTTTTGGATCAATGATACAATATTCAAAAGAAGAAATTCTTCCTTACGCACAAAACATCCTTGAAATACTTTCTGATGCAGCAAATCTCGAGAATGAAGAAGATTCACCTATAAAAGGTGAAGCAATCGCAAGTTTGGCTTTATTAATTCCTTATATAGAAGAAAAGTCAAATTTTGTGTCACTTTTCTTACAAAATGTATCGTCTTCTGACATTGAATTATCATTAAGTTCATTTGATGCATTCATTGACAGTTTACCATATATTAAAGAAGAATTTGGAGAAGCGATTTTGGGAGCATTAGAAGTAGCAGTTAACTTAATGAAACAAGATTTTGAATTTAAAGATGATAAAGACGAAGAATACGAGAACAACACATTGAATAGATATCTCTATGAAGCAATACATTTCTGCAAGAGAGCTATTAAAGAAACACCAACAATTGTTCAACAAATTTATGAAGAATTAATAAACGGTTTGACAAAAATTATTGACGATGGAAAATTTGATGAACAAGTTATGAGTGCAACAATTGATTGTGCATTCCAAGCACATAAAGTCATTGGCCAAGACTTGAGTGATTTCCTGAGAGATTTGATTCCTTCCGCAATTGAAGAAAGAGAAATTTTTGCAGAATTGTTGAAATCAATTGGAAGAAGTTTGGAAGAAGGCATCGAAATACAAGAAGATGTCATTAGTTCAATGACGGAAGCAGCAATGGAAGGAATGAGACATGATTTGTCATTCCAAATTGATGATAATTTTGATAATTATGATAAATTAATTAATCCTGCTTTGACAGAATATTTCAGATATTTGGGAGAAAAATTACCTCAGTTATTCCCTCATTATGAATATTATGAAGCACTTAAAAAGATAATAGATAAAGGAAATGAATATGATAAAGCTAATTATTTGTATGCTTTAGCTGGTTTCTTTGTTGTCGCAAAAGATAATTTAGAAATATTAATTAAAAAGAAAATCATGGAAATGTTTGCTCAGTCAATTGTAATGTTTACTTCTTATGAAATTGATCCAGACACAATTTCAGCAATAAGAGAAGTATTCGAGGCTGAGCCAAAAGGAATGGAGAAATACGCAGAAGACTTACAAAATACATGCTTAGAAATTTTGTCAGGAGAAAACAATGGTGAGTTATTCTATGAAGATACTTGTTGTTACGCTATTTCTTTGTTGTTGACAATGCAGAGAACATTGTTGGGAGAAAACTTTGATGTGCAGACATTCATGCCTTTAATGCTGCCTCATTTCCCAGCAATAAATGATGAATCACCAAATATTTATATGTCATTGTGTGATGTTTGTGGAGAATTCCCACAACAGATGGGACAATTTGGTCCTGATATCGCTGTTGCTTTAGGAAAGACATTGGCTTTGAGAGATGATGAATTCGAAAGTTTGAATTTACCAACTCATATTTTCATCGAAATTGCAACTTTGTTTAATAATTTAGCTGCAGCAAATGAAAAGATACAGCCAATGATAATGGAACAGATAGGTTCTAACAATGGCGGAATTGATAGAATTAATGATAGATTAGCAAAAGCTGCTGATATGATAGAGTAAAAAAAATAATATATATTTTTATTATATTGTAATATCATTTTTTAAGGAAAGCCTGAAAATTGAGATGCGATTTGCAAATAATCGTTATCGTCTTCTTTCCAAAATTCACTTTTCGTAGCGTTTTGATTAATAAATTTTGGAACAAAGAAGAATCAAATGAGAAGTCCAGAGCTTCTTGACATATATGAAAGTTGAGGTTCCTGGGGTTGAAGTAATAACAAGAAGGAATTAACGTATGAATTTTATAATTTTTGAAAAAAAAACAAAATTTATTAATTTTACTGTATTTATATATGTAAGAATTATTTAACTTTACTTTAAAAATTCTTTTGGTCTATCGTTTAGGGCAATTTAAATAATGTATTTACTTCATAGATGCAAATATTGCATTGGCGTATAATGTTATTGATATTTTCTATGCAAAGTGAGTTGCGGTAAAAAATGCGGTCATAACACCATTCAATTTATGGATAAAGTACTCAATTTGTGGCTAAGTCTCTCAATCTATGGAAAGCTTGCGGTAAAAAATAAAAATTTAGCTATTTTCCTATGATTTTGATTCCACATCCTACAACTCTCAAAACGAAAGATATATACATTGATAATTCCTTGAAAAAATTTTAAAAAATGCCAAAACGAAAAAATGGGTCATTCTTGAGTGAAAAAAGTAAAAAATGACGATCATTTTCAATTGAATTTTCCACTTTTTTCCAAAAAATAAATTTGCGGAAAACGTACCATTTTTCGAATGAAAAATCGATTACAAAATCTAATTTTATTCAAAAATGCTCACCTTTTCCTAGAATGCTGATTTTACTAAAAATTAACACATTTGAATTTCATTCAAATGCGTCACTTTTTCCGAAAATCGCAAATTTTTAAAAATGACGATTATTTTTTCTAAATTTATGATTATAGCTAAATTAAGATAAATTAATATGTGTCTGGGGCAGGAATTAATGTTATGGATTCAACAATTAATTAAAATTCAAATTTATGGATATAAGAATATGAATTTCATGAATTATATATATTTTTATATGATATCATAAGGGCAGATGGAAATAATCCAATAGATAATAGAAATTGATTTATTTTATGATTCTACATAATGACCACATTTGATATAATTGAATTTTTATGATTTTATGATTTAGTCTAGATTTCTTAATAAAAAATGATATAGTTCCAATTGGATAATATTGTTTGATTATTGAAACAACAAAATTTCATCTTAGATGTGAATATTTATTCAAGCGAAGGAATTACTAAGGATTCAATCTTTTCGTTGCGAATTGATTCAAACCAGAATGCAAAGACAGCGGCAAACAACGCTTCTTTATAGTTTTTCTTTCGAAGTAAAGCGTTAAAAACAGGCATAGAAAAAAGGGCTATTGCATAACGATCTTTCATTTTGCCTAGTGACGAACAATCGTCAATATAATCGCCAATATCGTAAGCGGCTTTGATGTTTGCAACTTCAACAACCATAGCTGCATCTGCCGCGCCAAGCTCTAAAGTTTTTAGCCAAATACTGACATTATGCATTTGAAAAGCTCGAGCTCTATTGAGAATAGCTGCAACATCGAATGCATTTGGCATTTGATTGTTTGCATCATAAAACCATGAGTTAAAGAAATTATCACGCTCTGTGTTTTCTAGCTAGGATCACCATCTGTTATTATAGATCCGTATTTTTCCCAGGTGAGCGGGGTATCTTTAATCCCAGCCCTATCATCCTCCCAGTGTCAGTTTTTAATATAAAATCCAAAATTTTTTAAAAAAATAAAAATTTCGAGAAATTTTTCTAGTTTTTTCTTTGATTTCAATAATTCAAAATAAATTTTGGAGTAAAAAGACACTATTTAATGAAATTCATATGAGTGAATGTGGATAAATACTCTCAAAACATACAATTTATATATTTTTTCTATGTATTATCAACTAATTAGTGATAATTTTTTTGAATCAGATTTTTTTCATTAAAAATATAATATATAACGCAATAATGATGTACACATACGCATCTACACATCAAAATATAAAGTTTGTTTTGGTCTGGGCACCCCAACCCAAAATTCTAAAAAAATTGAATAAAATTGAATACTTGGGGCTGGGATACCCAGCCCGAAACCGAATTGAATTTTTTGAATTAAGGAATATATTTACGTATTTATAATATATATGTGATGTTTATAAAAAATACTAAATTTTTGTAAAAAAATTCAATTTATTCAAAACGTATATTAAGTGATCACTTCATTAGTAGGATCAGCGATCCTACTAAATAGTGAGAATGCCACTAGCTAAAAAGGGAGTCCTTGGAGCTCTTGATCTCTTGTCAGTAGAGTCCATAATGAGGCATGGCATCTACTGATTAGAGATCAGAGCAATCCTACCTTACCTAGTTAGTATACATATCATGTGTACGGAGGCACTGCGCGCCTCCTTACACCTGATATGTGAATTTGACACTTTACAAAACCGTTAACGTATATTTTACAACACAAACACAAACACCAACTTAACCTTAAATATTTATAAAGCCACCAACCACTTCACCTCGCTAACGTTTTCACAAACGACTTCACTACTGTAAAAAATAAAAGTTCTCACTTACAAAAGTATTGCAACTCTTCCCATTGCTGTGCTTCACACAATAGTTCATATTCTTCAGTATCGCTGCTGTCGCTCCAATCGTCAGAGTCAAAGTCACTGTCAAAATAAATGTTAGTAAGTTTTGACAAAGCTAATGAAACACGCTTACCGTTTGTATCGTATGCTTGTATAAACTTTCCATTCTTCATTCCTTCATAAACGCTCAAACTAACTTTACCCTTTCTCCCTCGTATCTGATAGAATGTATTTTCACGAGGAACGAAGAACAAATTCTTGAACTCATGACCGTTGTAGTTTGTTATCTCAATAGTTTTCGTCATTTATATAAAAATAAAATAAAAATTAAACTTAAAAATTAATGATATCACCACCCTCACACGTATGAAAACATAGCACAAAAATAAATTTAGGTGAAGTGGTGAGATCTCACCTCTTTTTTCACCTGTTTTTTCACCCTGTTGAATTCATTGCTTTATAACTCTCTTCCTTGGTTTCTTCATTTTTCATCATTGACTTTATCCAACTCTTCTAACTTCTTCTTAAGTTCAGCAATGTTGTCCTCATGAAGTTTAATCTTTCTCAAAATTCCTTCTCTATCTAATGGTTGCTTTATCTTTCTAAACTGAACTCTACCATCCTTCATAGTATGAATGTAAAAACCTTCTGGAATAGTTCCTGATTTAATGTATTCTACCAAAAACTTTTGTTTCATTGCTTCAGTGACTTTATTTGTCATTTTACTCTAAGGTGAAGCTAGCACAGCGATAATGGATTTCATGACTTTTTAGTATTTCATGCAATCTTAACAGATAGCCTTACAAGTACTTCCAGTGTCCCTAGCTGTCCATCCTTTTTATATAACTCCATGACATTTATAATCTCGCGAAACTTAACAGGTAGCATAACAGATTAAAATCAGATGAGGTTTTGAACCAAAATTTCTAAGCAACGTTGTCAAGGATTTTTGAGGAACTAGGGACAGAGTGTGGCAAAGTCCAAGATTTAATTTATCTTCATCTGTTTCATCAGCTATCTCATCTAATATTCCAATATTTTATTCATAACTCGTGGCAAACTCACTAACTTTCGTTATGTTCATCTGCATGCTTCATCTGATAGAAAGTATGACTTTCATTAACTCTGTGAGATAATGAAAACTACTAGGGACAGAGACCATGGCAAAGTTTATGACTTTCATTATTTCCAGAACTTAATGAAAACTACTAGGGACAGAGAACATGGCAAAGTTCATGATTTAATTTATTCTCTCACTAACAACAAACACAAACTCCAACACTAACGACAAAAATAAATGTCCTCACTTCTTAACAAAGTAATATGTGCTTCTTACACCACCATAGCTCAAACGTTTCTTTTCAAACATCGATTGAAACTTATTTTGAGCCATTGGCTTTAGTCTCTTTTTCTTCAAATACGCCAAGAAATCTTCTTCACATCTTTTCACTTCATAGCCTTCTTTAAACTCCTCCTTGTTAAGTTCTATGAAATCCTTTATAACATTCTTTGTTGCAATGGCTTCTTCACGAACGACATCGTGAACTATTTCATCATTACATTCATGTATGACCTCCTCACTGTTCTCATGAACTATTTCAACACTGTTCTCATGAACGACCTCCTTACTGTCTTTCATAAGCGTTTCAAAGTCTCCTTTACTCATTACTTCAATCTCATGCTGTTCACAGTAGTACTTAAACTCACTGTATATGTCTTTGTTGTATGTTATATTGCTTCCCATGTACTCCATGAATTTTTCAAGCACTTCCTCATAATTCACTGTTTCTTTCTTTCCACGACCTTCTAATATCATACTTGCTTCGTAAATATAACTTCTTGCAGAACCGTCTCGCTTTCTACTTCTCTTCACAAATTCTCTCATCTTGCCACCAAATACATTTGAACTACATGCAAAGAATTCATTCTCCTTCGCAAATTCTTTATATCTTCTGTAGCACTCTGTACAATTCCATCCGGATACAAACTTTTCATAGAACTCCTCGTAAAACATTTGGTAAGGTGTTTTGTTCATTTCGATGAGTTCTTGTTTAGCCCTGGTGAATGGTATCTTCCTTACATCAAATTCACTTAAATCTTTCTTCATGAAGTACGTCAGTAAGTTTGAATAAAACTCTTCATTAAAGCTTTCAATGAGATTTGAGAAATATTCGTAATTTCCTTTGTATCTGCTGCTTACGTCAATGACAACAAATCTTCTGTCGTCTTTGTCAATCTTTACTGAGTTGAAGTTGTTAGATATCATGATGATATTACAAACATTCTCTATCTTTCTTACTGGCTGACACTTCTGATTTAAGTCCAACTGAGTCTCTGTTACTATTGACTTTAGTGCGTCGTGGTTCATGACCTTAGACGTATCGCATGAGCTTAGTTCATTGCATACGATGAGCTTCATGTTCTCAATAGCAGCATTGAATCTACCAACCACATTCTCTATTGCCGTTATATTATTGTTGGCGTACTTGCTAATGAGCTCGCATAGAACATTACTAAGTACATTCTTACCAGTTCCTTGCTTTCCTGTTAACAAAAGTACTGTTCCAGTCTTTCCACAAGGATTTTGAACGATGTAGGCGAACCAGTTCAAAACATACTCATAAAGCTCTTCATCCTCATTACATATGACATCGTGAACATGTTTCAAATATCCTTCAATAATGCTTTCATCTACTTCATTCAGTACCTCATACTCATATCCTCTGAAATAGCTGTAAATGTCATCTCTTTCGTCAAAGAATCTCATGCCTGACTTCATAAGATAGTTCTTGTTCTGACCCGCTTCATAAATCATCAGTGCGTTCACATCCTTCTCTTCAATACGTCCTACATAAACACTCTTCATGAGCTTATTGAATTCCTTGCTATCTACTGACACAAGTGTTGTTGTGTCTCGTATTCCATCATAATCTTTCACTAGATATGTCATACGTGCTCCGTCAATAACGACAACACATCTTCTTAAGTCATTTATAACACTAGCTATGTCAATACCTTCTTCACTCATGTACTTATTTCTTCTCAAGTCCTTTAGTGTGAAAGTGTCTCTAAGTTCTATTTCAAGCAATTCATTTACACATCCTTTGCAATACTTCTCTATAAAATATTTCTGTCGTTCTTTACTAAGTTTTTTAACAGCTCTGAAGAACCATGTGTTTTGACTCAAACATCCTTCACAACTTCTCTCATTCATTCCTAGTTCTTTCATGTCATTATCTTCAACCTCTATGGTCTCATTGAGTAAGGTCAAAGGGTTCTTAGTCATTGCTGGTCTTATCTGAAACAATGTTTGTGCAACAGGTTTAACTAGTTCAGCAACGTCCTTCCTTAATATGAATAGCTGTTTCCACTCATCTTTGCTAACAGTTCTTTCATAACCACTGACAGTAATGATTTCATTTGCTGACTTTAGACACTTATGTTCTATCATTTGTATTGCTTTTGTGTAAGGCTTTCGTGAGCATAGGTTGTATATGTCATTCCTGCAATGTTCATTCATGCCAATAGTACTAAATCCTTTCTTTGCTGTTGAGTGCATAATATCCATTAGTTCCTGTGTTCGTATTGCTGTCTCATAAAATACAACAAGACCTTTGTCATCTATGACGTACTTACCGAAAACATTGCTTATATTCTTTAACCATGAAATAACATCCTCATTCATGCTGTCAAACATGAAGTAAGGTCTTACATACTCTTCACTTATAAGATACTCCACAAAATACTTGTTAAGCTCTATGTCCTCGTGAGCGATTTCATTAGGTTTGATATTAGTTCCTTTTGTCATTGCTGTCATGTACTTCACTCTCATAGTTCCTTTCAATAGCGTAAAAATACTTCATTGTTTCATAACTGCTCTAAATTCTGTTCAAAATTCGTACAACATAACTTTTTAACATTAGTGAAAGAACATGAGCGAAACAACAACATCTAACATTACAGAAGAAGTCAATGACAATGCCGATGAAAACATTACAGAAGGAGCTAGTGAAAATATTGACGAGTTCAGTGAGGAAGAAGATATTGAGGACGTCAATGAGAACGTTAGTGGGGAACAAACTCAATGGGAAACATTGAGAAATCATGAAGATTATGAGATTTGTACGACATATCCTTTTACTATTCGTCGAAAGAAAGACAAACATATTATGAGTGAATACTTAAATAATTATGGTTATATTGTGCTTAGTTTAAACAACAAAATACATTTAAAGCATAGAATTATTGCAGAACAGTGGATTGAAAATCCAAACAATTTGAAAGAAATAGACCATATAAATCATGATAGAACGGACAACAGAATCTCAAACCTTCGTTGGTGTTCTAGATCTGAAAACAATAGAAATAAAAGCAAGTATGGCGATATAGTTTATGAGTTCGTTGATGAAATATCTGACGAAGCTGTTGAAATAACAGATTATGGTAAGCATTCGTTTGAGTTCTACTACTATGTTGAGAATGAGGACGCATTCTATTATTATACAGGTCTTAACTATCGAAAACTTCATATAAACTTTACAAAAACAGGTGCTGCTTATGTTTGTATGATAGATACAGAAAACAAGAGTGTAATTTTATTCATAAACAAATTCAAACGCTTGTACGGCTTCATGTAGGACAAACATTATTTTTCAACACTAACGCCAACACGTAGGACAAACATTCATGACTAACATTAATGTATAAACTTCGTCGTATATGTTTTGTCAAGACTTCGTCGTATATGTTTTGTCATGAGTTCATCGTAAATGTTTTGTCATGATTTCTTCGTCAAAACTTCATCGTTAATGATTTGTCAAGACTTCATCGTCAAAACTTCATCGTCAATGATTTCAGTGTCACCACGTCACCATGTCACCAGGTTAATTAACTTCTCCTAAAATTACTGACAACATGACATTTTGACAACAGGTACGAAAGGAGGAAGGCATTTATGAATTATTTTTGAAGAACCGAAGGTGTCACCACGTCACCATGTCACCAGTAATTTTAACTTCTCCTAAAATTACTGACAACATGACATTTTGACAACAGGTACGAAAGGAATTTCATCGTGAATGCTTCGTCAAGACTTCATCGTAAATGTTTTGTCATGACTTCATCGTAAATGTTTGTCAAAACTTCATCGAAACTATACATAAACACTTTATCAAGACTTCATCGTATATACTTTGTCAAAACTTCATCGTCAATGATTTGTCAAGACTTCACCCTCATGAATTTGTCATGATTTCATCGTAAATGCTTCGTCATGATTTCATCGTCAAAACTTCATCGTATATGCTTTGCCATGATTTCATCGTAAATGATTTGTCAAGACTTCATCGTCAATGATTTGTCAAGACTTCATCGTCAATGATTTGTCAAGGTTTCTTCGTATATGTTTTGTCATGACTTCATCGTAAATACTTCATCGTCAATGATTTGTCATGACTTCATCGTAAACACTTTGTCATGATTTCATCGTAAATGTTTTGGCAAGACTTCATCGTCAATGATTGTCAAGACTTCATCGTCAATGATTTGTCATGATTTCATCGTCAAAACTTTGTCATGACTTCATCGTAAATGCTTCGTCAAGACTTCATCGTCAATGATTTGTCAAGGTTTCTTCGTATATGTTGTGTCATGACTTCTTCGTAAATGATTTGTCATGACTTCATCGTAAATGTTTTGTCAAGACTTCATCGTCAATGATTTGTCAAGACTTCATCGTAAACACTTTGTCAAAACTTCATCGTCAATGATTTGTCAAGACTTCATCGTCAATGTTTTGTCAAGACTTCATCGTCAATGATTTGTCAAGACTTCATCGTAAACACTTTGTCAAAACTTCATTGTCAATGATTTGTCAAGACTTCATCGTAATGAGTGTAAATGACCCAAAAATAATGTTTAGGTGAAGAGGTGAGATCTCACCTGTTTTCTCACCTAATTTTTCACCCTCATGAATTTGTCATGACTTCATCGTTAATGTTTTGTCAAGATTTCTTCGTAAATGTTTTGTCATGATTTCATCGTAATGAGTGTAAATGACCCAAAAATAATGTTTAGGTGAAGAGGTGAGATCTCACCTGTTTTCTGACCTAATTTTTCACCCTCATGAATTTGTCATGACTTCATCGTCAATGATTTGTCATGACTTCATCGTCATGACTTCATCGTCAATGATTTGTCAAGACTTCATCGTCAATGATTTGTCATGACTTCATCGTAAACACTTTGTCATGATTTCATCGTTAATGAGTGTAAATGACCCAAAAATAATGTTTAGGTGAAGAGGTGAGATCTCACCTGTTTTCTCACCTAATTTTTCACCCTCATGAATTTGTCATGACTTCATCGTTAATGTTTTGTCAAGATTTCTTCGTAAATGTTTTGTCATGATTTCATCATAATGAGTGTAAATGACCCAAAAATAATGTTTAGGTGAAGAGGTGAGATCTCACCTGTTTTCTCACCTAATTTTTCACCCTCATGAATTTGTCATGACTTCATCGTCAATGATTTGTCATGACTTCATCGTCATGACTTCATCGTCATGACTTCATCGTTAATGATTTGTCAAGACTTCATCGTCAATGATTTGTCATGACTTCATCGTAAACACTTTGTCATGATTTCATCGTTAATGAGTGTAAATGACCCAAAAATAATGTTTAGGTGAAGAGGTGAGATCTCACCTGTTTTCTCACCTAATTTTTCACCCTCATGAATTTGTCATGATTTCATCGTATATGATTTGTCATGACTTCATCGTCATGACTTCATCGTTAATGATTTGTCATGACTTCATCGTCATGACTTCATCGTTAATGATTTGTCAAGACTTCATCGTCAATGATTTGCCATGACTTCATCGTCAAAACTTCATCGTCAATGATTTGTCATGATTTCATCGTATATGATTTGTCATGACTTCATCGTCATGACTTCATCGTTAATGATTTGTCAAGACTTCATCGTCAATGATTTGTCATGACTTCATCGTAAACACTTTGTCATGATTTCATCGTTAATGAGTGTAAATGACCCAAAAATAATGTTTAGGTGAAGAGGTGAGATCTCACCTGTTTTCTCACCTAATTTTTCACCCTCATGAATTTGTCATGATTTCATCGTATATGCTTTGTCATGACTTCTTCGTATATGTTTTGTCAAGGTTTCTTCGTATATACTTTGTCAAAACTTCATCGTCAATGATTTGTCAAGACTTCACCCTCATGAATTTGTCATGATTTCATCGTCAATGATTTGTCAAGACTTCATCGTCAAGATTTCATCGTAAATGATTTGTCAAGACTTCATCGTCAATGTTTTGTCAAGACTTCATCGTCAATGATTTGTCAAGACTTCATCGTAAACACTTTGTCAAAACTTCATCGTAAATGATTTGTCATGATTTCTTCGTAAACACTTTGTCATGATTTCATCGTAAATGCTTTGTCAAAACTTCATCGTCAATGATTTGTCAAGACTTCATCGTAAACACTTTGTCAAAACTTCATCGTCAATGATTTGTCAAGACTTCATCGTAATGAGTGTAAATGACCCAAAAATAATGTTTAGGTGAAGAGGTGAGATCTCACCTGTTTTCTCACCTAATTTTTCACCCTCATGAATTTGTCATGACTTCATCGTTAATGTTTTGTCAAGATTTCTTCGTAAATGTTTTGTCATGATTTCATCATAATGAGTGTAAATGACCCAAAAATAATGTTTAGGTGAAGAGGTGAGATCTCACCTGTTTTCTCACCTAATTTTTCACCCTCATGAATTTGTCATGATTTCATCGTATATGATTTGTCATGACTTCATCGTCAAAACTTCATCGTCAATGATTTGTCATGACTTCATCGTAAACACTTTGTCATGATTTCATCGTTAATGAGTGTAAATGACCCAAAAATAATGTTTAGGTGAAGAGGTGAGATCTCACCTGTTTTCTCACCTAATTTTTCACCCTCATGAATTTGTCATGATTTCATCGTATATGATTTGTCATGACTTCATCGTCAAAACTTCATCGTCAATGATTTGTCATGACTTCATCGTAAAACTTTGTCATGATTTCATCGTTAATGAGTGTAAATGACCCAAAAATAATGTTTAGGTGAAGAGGTGAGATCTCACCTGTTTTCTCACCTAATTTTTCACCCTCATGAATTTGTCATGATTTCATCGTAAATGTTTGTCAAGACTTCATCGTCAAAACTTCATCGTCAGTGATTTCAGTGTCACCACGTCACCATGTCACCAGGTTAATTAACTTCTCCTAAAATTACTGACAACATGACATTTTGACAACAGGTACGAAAGGAATTTCATCGTAAATGCTTCGTCAAGACTTCACCCTCATGAATTTGTCATGATTTCATCGTATATGCTTTGTCATGACTTCTTCGTATATGTTTTGTCATGATTTCTTCGTAAATGATTTGTCATGATTTCATCGTAAATGTTTTGTCAAGACTTCATCGTCAATGATTTGTCAAGACTTCATCGTAAACACTTTGTCAAAACTTCATCGTCAATGATTTGTCAAGACTTCATCGTAAACACTTTGTCAAAACTTCATCGTCAATGAGTGTAAATGACCCAAAAATAATTTTAGAAGAATTTCCTCATATGATTGCTTCCCTCTGAAAACCGAGAGTACTGGAAGGATAAAAATAAGCCAGAAAGAATAAGATAATTCTTCTAAACTTTTTCATTAGATGTAAATCAGACAAAACATTGACGATGAAGTCTTGACAAATCATTGACGATGAAGTCTTGACAAATCATTGACGATGAAATCATGACAAATCATTTACGAAGAAATCGTGACAAATCATTTACGATGAAATCTTGACGATGAAGTCTTGACAAATCATTTACGATGAAATCTTGACGATGAAGTCTTGACAAATCATTGACGATGAAATCATGACAAATTCATGAGGGTGAAGTCATGACAAATCATTGACGATGAAGTTTTGACAAAGTATATACGAAGAAACCTTGACAAAACATATACGAAGAAGTCATGACAAACATTTACGATGAAATCATGACAAATTCATGAGGGTGAAGTCTTGACGAAGCATTTACGATGAAATTCCTTTCGTACCTGTTGTCAAAATGTCATGTTGTCAGTAATTTTAGGAGAAGTTAATTAACCTGGTGACATGGTGACGTGGTGACACTGAAATCACTGACGATGAAGTTTTGACGATGAAGTCTTGACAAACATTTACGATGAAATCATGACAAATTCATGAGGGTGAAAAATTAGGTGAGAAAACAGGTGAGATCTCACCTCTTCACCTAAACATTATTTTTGGGTCATTTACACTCATTAACGATGAAATCATGACAAAGTGTTTACGATGAAGTCATGACAAATCATTGACGATGAAGTTTTGACGATGAAGTCATGACAAATCATATACGATGAAATCATGACAAATTCATGAGGGTGAAAAATTAGGTGAGAAAACAGGTGAGATCTCACCTCTTCACCTAAACATTATTTTTGGGTCATTTACACTCATTAACGATGAAATCATGACAAAGTGTTTACGATGAAGTCATGACAAATCATTGACGATGAAGTCTTGACAAATCATTAACGATGAAGTCATGACGATGAAGTCATGACAAATCATATACGATGAAGTCATGACAAATTCATGAGGGTGAAAAATTAGGTGAGAAAACAGGTGAGATCTCACCTCTTCACCTAAACATTATTTTTGGGTCATTTACACTCATTACGATGAAATCATGACAAAACATTTACGAAGAAGTCATGACAAATCATTGACGATGAAGTTTTGACGATGAAGTCATGACAAATCATATACGATGAAATCATGACAAATTCATGAGGGTGAAAAATTAGGTGAGAAAACAGGTGAGATCTCACCTCTTCACCTAAACATTATTTTTGGGTCATTTACACTCATTAACGATGAAATCATGACAAAGTGTTTACGATGAAGTCATGACAAATCATTGACGATGAAGTCTTGACAAATCATTAACGATGAAGTCATGACGATGAAGTCATGACAAATCATTGACGATGAAGTTTTGACAAAGTGTTTACGATGAAGTCTTGACAAATCATTGACGATGAAGTCTTGACAAAACATTGACGATGAAGTCTTGACAAATCATTGACGATGAAATCATGACAAATCATTTACGAAGAAATCGTGACAAATCATTTACGATGAAATCTTGACGATGAAGTCTTGACAAATCATTTACGATGAAATCTTGACGATGAAGTCTTGACAAATCATTGACGATGAAATCATGACAAATTCATGAGGGTGAAGTCTTGACAAATCATTGACGATGAAGTTTTGACAAAGTATATACGAAGAAACCTTGACAAAACATATACGAAGAAGTCATGACAAACATTTACGATGAAATCATGACAAATTCATGAGGGTGAAAAATTAGGTGAGAAAACAGGTGAGATCTCACCTCTTCACCTAAACATTATTTTTGGGTCATTTACACTCATTAACGATGAAATCATGACAAAGTGTTTACGATGAAGTCATGACAAATCATTGACGATGAAGTCTTGACAAATCATTAACGATGAAGTCATGACGATGAAGTCATGACAAATCATATACGATGAAGTCATGACAAATTCATGAGGGTGAAAAATTAGGTGAGAAAACAGGTGAGATCTCACTTCTTCACCTAAACATTATTTTTGGGTCATTTACACTCATTACGATGAAGTCTTGACAAATCATTGACGATGAAGTTTTGACAAAGTGTTTACGATGAAGTCTTGACAAATCATTGACGATGAAGTTTTGACAAAGCATTTACGATGAAATCATGACAAAGTGTTTACGAAGAAATCATGACAAATCATTTACGATGAAGTTTTGACAAAGTGTTTACGATGAAGTCTTGACAAATCATTGACGATGAAGTCTTGACAAAACATTGACGATGAAGTCTTGACAAATCATTTACGATGAAGTCTTGACAAATCATTGACGATGAAATCATGACAAATCATTTACGAAGAAATCATGACAAATCATTTACGATGAAATCTTGACGATGAAGTCTTGACAAATCATTTACGATGAAATCTTGACGATGAAGTCTTGTCAAAGTGTTTACGATGAAGTCTTGACAAATCATTGACGATGAAGTCTTGACAAATCATTGACGATGAAATCATGACAAATCATTTACGAAGAAATCATGACAAAGTTTTGACGATGAAATCATGACAAATCATTGACGATGAAGTCTTGACAATCATTGACGATGAAATCATGACAAATCATTTACGATGAAATCTTGACGATGAAGTCTTGACAAATCATTTACGATGAAATCTTGACGATGAAGTCTTGTCAAAGTGTTTACGATGAAGTCTTGACAAATCATTGACGATGAAGTCTTGACAAATCATTGACGATGAAGTCTTGACAATCATTGACGATGAAGTCTTGACAAAACATATACGAAGAAACCTTGACAAATCATTGACGATGAAGTCTTGACAAATCATTGACGATGAAGTCTTGACAAATCATTGACGATGAAGTCTTGACAAAGTCATGACAAAACATATACGAAGAAACCTTGACAAAACATATACGATGAAATCATGACAAATTCATGAGGGTGAAGTCTTGACAAATCATTGACGATGAAGTCTTGACAAATCATTGACGATGAAGTTTTGACAAAGTATATACGATGAAGTCTTGACGAAGCATTTACGATGAAATCATGACAAAGCATATACGATGAAGTTTTGACGATGAAATCATGACGAAGCATTTACGATGAAATCATGACAAATTCATGAGGGTGAAGTCTTGACAAATCATTGACGATGAAGTTTTGACAAAGTATATACGATGAAGTCTTGATAAAGTGTTTATGTATAGTTTCGATGAAGTTTTGACAAACATTTACGATGAAGTCATGACAAAACATTTACGATGAAGTCTTGACGAAGCATTCACGATGAAATTCCTTTCGTACCTGTTGTCAAAATGTCATGTTGTCAGTAATTTTAGGAGAAGTTAATTAACCTGGTGACATGGTGACGTGGTGACACCTTCAGTTCTTCAAAAATAATTCATAAATGCCTTCCTCCTTTCGTACCTGTTGTCAAAATGTCATGTTGTCAGTAATTTTAGGAGAAGTTAATTAACCTGGTGACATGGTGACGTGGTGACACTGAAATCATTGACGATGAAGTTTTGACGATGAAGTCTTGACAAATCATTAACGATGAAGTTTTGACGAAGAAATCATGACAAAACATTTACGATGAACTCATGACAAAACATATACGACGAAGTCTTGACAAAACATATACGACGAAGTTTATACATTAATGTTAGTCATGAATGTTTGTCCTACGTGTTGGCGTTAGTGTTGAAAAATAATGTTTGTCCTACATGAAGCCGTACAAGCGTTTGAATTTGTTTATGAATAAAATTACACTCTTGTTTTCTGTATCTATCATACAAACATAAGCAGCACCTGTTTTTGTAAAATTTATATGAAGTTTTCGATAGTTAAGACCTGTATAATAATAGAATGCGTCCTCATTCTCAACATAATAGTAGAACTCAAACGAATGCTTACCATAATCTGTTATTTCAACAGCTTCGTCAGATATTTCATCAACGAACTCATAAACTATATCGCCATACTTGCTTTTATTTCTATTGTTTTCAGATCTAGAACACCAACGAAGGTTTGAGATTCTGTTGTCCGTTCTATCATGATTTATATGGTCTATTTCTTTCAAATTGTTTGGATTTTCAATCCACTGTTCTGCAATAATTCTATGCTTTAAATGTATTTTGTTGTTTAAACTAAGCACAATATAACCATAATTATTTAAGTATTCACTCATAATATGTTTGTCTTTCTTTCGACGAATAGTAAAAGGATATGTCGTACAAATCTCATAATCTTCATGATTTCTCAATGTTTCCCATTGAGTTTGTTCCCACTAACGTTCTCATTGACGTCCTCAATATCTTCTTCCTCACTGAACTCGTCAATATTTTCACTAGCTCCTTCTGTAATGTTTTCATCGGCATTGTCATTGACTTCTTCTGTAATGTTAGATGTTGTTGTTTCGCTCATGTTCTTTCACTAATGTTAAAAAGTTATGTTGTACGAATTTTGAACAGAATTTAGAGCAGTTATGAAACAATGAAGTATTTTTACGCTATTGAAAGGAACTATGAGAGTGAAGTACATGACAGCAATGACAAAAGGAACTAATATCAAACCTAATGAAATCGCTCACGAGGACATAGAGCTTAACAAGTATTTTGTGGAGTATCTTATAAGTGAAGAGTATGTAAGACCTTACTTCATGTTTGACAGCATGAATGAGGATGTTATTTCATGGTTAAAGAATATAAGCAATGTTTTCGGTAAGTACGTCATAGATGACAAAGGTCTTGTTGTATTTTATGAGACAGCAATACGAACACAGGAACTAATGGATATTATGCACTCAACAGCAAAGAAAGGATTTAGTACTATTGGCATGAATGAACATTGCAGGAATGACATATACAACCTATGCTCACGAAAGCCTTACACAAAAGCAATACAAATGATAGAACATAAGTGTCTAAGGTCAGCAAATGAAATCATTACTGTCAGTGGTTATGAAAGAACTGTTAGCAAAGATGAGTGGAAACAGCTATTCATATTAAGGAAGGACGTTGCTGAACTAGTTAAACCTGTTGCACAAACATTGTTTCAGATAAGACCAGCAATGACTAAGAACCCTTTGACCTTACTCAATGAGACCATAGAGGTTGAAGATAATGACATGAAAGAACTAGGAATGAATGAGAGAAGTTGTGAAGGATGTTTGAGTCAAAACACATGGTTCTTCAGAGCTGTTAAAAAACTTAGTAAAGAACGACAGAAATATTTTATAGAGAAGTATTGCAAAGGATGTGTAAATGAATTGCTTGAAATAGAACTTAGAGACACTTTCACACTAAAGGACTTGAGAAGAAATAAGTACATGAGTGAAGAAGGTATTGACATAGCTAGTGTTATAAATGACTTAAGAAGATGTGTTGTCGTTATTGACGGAGCACGTATGACATATCTAGTGAAAGATTATGATGGAATACGAGACACAACAACACTTGTGTCAGTAGATAGCAAGGAATTCAATAAGCTCATGAAGAGTGTTTATGTAGGACGTATTGAAGAGAAGGATGTGAACGCACTGATGATTTATGAAGCGGGTCAGAACAAGAACTATCTTATGAAGTCAGGCATGAGATTCTTTGACGAAAGAGATGACATTTACAGCTATTTCAGAGGATATGAGTATGAGGTACTGAATGAAGTAGATGAAAGCATTATTGAAGGATATTTGAAACATGTTCACGATGTCATATGTAATGAGGATGAAGAGCTTTATGAGTATGTTTTGAACTGGTTCGCCTACATCGTTCAAAATCCTTGTGGAAAGACTGGAACAGTACTTTTGTTAACAGGAAAGCAAGGAACTGGTAAGAATGTACTTAGTAATGTTCTATGCGAGCTCATTAGCAAGTACGCCAACAATAATATAACGGCAATAGAGAATGTGGTTGGTAGATTCAATGCTGCTATTGAGAACATGAAGCTCATCGTATGCAATGAACCAAGCTCATGCGATACGTCTAAGGTCATGAACCACGACGCACTAAAGTCAATAGTAACAGAGACTCAGTTGGACTTAAATCAGAAGTGTCAGCCAGTAAGAAAGATAGAGAATGTTTGTAATATTCTTATATACGAAAAAAAGAGATCTGACATTGTGTCAGATCTCAGTAAAAGTGACATTTACATGTCAAAAAAATAGAATGAGTTTAAGTAATTAAAATTGAGGGTGAGAGTAGTATTGTATGAAATAATATCTCTCACCCTCCAATTCATCCTATGGCGCCGAAAAAATTTTGGTGAAATGCGACCACATTTCACCAAAATTTCTCGGCGCCATATAGAGAACTAGAGCCTGTGAGGTACTGATACTATCCATGTACCTCGCAGGCTCTAGTTCCAAGCCAAAATGGCTAAAAATTGCCCGCAATTGTTCACATTGCGGGCAATTTTTAGCCATTTTGGCTGGGAATTGGAGGGTGAGAGTAGTATTGTATGAAATAATATCTCTCACCCTCCAATTCATCCTATGGCGCCGAAAAAATTTTGGTGAAATGCGACCACATTTCACCAAAATTTCTCGGCGCCATATAGAGAACTAGAGCCTGTGAGGTACTGATACTATCCATGTACCTCGCAGGCTCTAGTTCCAAGCCAAAATGGCTAAAAATTGCCCGCAATTGTTCACATTCCCATCTTTTGTTGGTAAGACGAAGAATATGAAATAAATTATGAAGAAGATAATGATGAATAAAATATCACTTTTTATATTTTTGACACGTAAAGTTGTCACTTTTCTGTCAAACTGTTTTTATCGTTTTCGTATATAACAATATCATCATGATATCTAACAACTTCAACTCAGTAAAGATTGACAAAGACGACAGAAGATTTGTTGTCATTGACGTAAGCAGCAGATACAAAGGAAATTACGAATATTTCTCAAATCTCATTGAAAGCTTTAATGAAGAGTTTTATTCAAACTTACTGACGTACTTCATGAAGAAAGATTTAAGTGAATTTGATGTAAGGAAGATACCATTCACCAGGGCTAAACAAGAACTCATCGAAATGAACAAAACACCTTACCAAATGTTTTACGAGGAGTTCTATGAAAAGTTTGTATCCGGATGGAATTGTACAGAGTGCTACAGAAGATATAAAGAATTTGCGAAGGAGAATGAATTCTTTGCATGTAGTTCAAATGTATTTGGTGGCAAGATGAGAGAATTTGTGAAGAGAAGTAGAAAGCGAGACGGTTCTGCAAGAAGTTATATTTACGAAGCAAGTATGATATTAGAAGGTCGTGGAAAGAAAGAAACAGTGAATTATGAGGAAGTGCTTGAAAAATTCATGGAGTACATGGGAAGCAATATAACATACAACAAAGACATATACAGTGAGTTTAAGTACTACTGTGAACAGCATGAGATTGAAGTAATGAGTAAAGGAGACTTTGAAACGCTTATGAAAGACAGTAAGGAGGTCGTTCATGAGAACAGTGTTGAAATAGTTCATGAGAACAGTGAGGAGATCATACATGAATGTAATGATGAAATAGTTCACGATGTCGTTCGTGAAGAAGCCATTGCAACAAAGAATGTTATAAAGGATTTCATAGAACTTAACAAGGAGGAGTTTAAAGAAGGCTATGAAGTGAAAAGATGTGAAGAAGATTTCTTGCGTATTTGAAGAAAAAGAGACTAAAGCCAATGGCTCAAAATAAGTTTCAATCGATGTTTGAAAAGAAACGTTTGAGCTATGGTGGTGTAAGAAGCACATATTACTTTGTTAAGAAGTGAGGACATTTATTTTTGTCGTTAGTGTTGGAGTTTGTGTTTGTTGTTAGTGAGAGAATAAATTAAATCATGAACTTTGCCATGTTCTCTGTCCCTAGTAGTTTTCATTAAGTTCTGGAAATAATGAAAGTCATAAACTTTGCCATGGTCTCTGTCCCTAGTAGTTTTCATTATCTCACAGAGTTAATGAAAGTCATACTTTCTATCAGATGAAGCATGCAGATGAACATAACGAAAGTTAGTGAGTTTGCCACGAGTTATGAATAAAATATTGGAATATTAGATGAGATAGCTGATGAAACAGATGAAGATAAATTAAATCTTGGACTTTGCCACACTCTGTCCCTAGTTCCTCAAAAATCCTTGACAACGTTGCTTAGAAATTTTGGTTCAAAACCTCATCTGATTTTAATCTGTTATGCTACCTGTTAAGTTTCGCGAGATTATAAATGTCATGGAGTTATATAAAAAGGATGGACAGCTAGGGACACTGGAAGTACTTGTAAGGCTATCTGTTAAGATTGCATGAAATACTAAAAAGTCATGAAATCCATTATCGCTGTGCTAGCTTCACCTTAGAGTAAAATGACAAATAAAGTCACTGAAGCAATGAAACAAAAGTTTTTGGTAGAATACATTAAATCAGGAACTATTCCAGAAGGTTTTTACATTCATACTATGAAGGATGGTAGAGTTCAGTTTAGAAAGATAAAGCAACCATTAGATAGAGAAGGAATTTTGAGAAAGATTAAACTTCATGAGGACAACATTGCTGAACTTAAGAAGAAGTTAGAAGAGTTGGATAAAGTCAATGATGAAAAATGAAGAAACCAAGGAAGAGAGTTATAAAGCAATGAATTCAACAGGGTGAAAAAACAGGTGAAAAAAGAGGTGAGATCTCACCACTTCACCTAAATTTATTTTTGTGCTATGTTTTCATACGTGTGAGGGTGGTGATATCATTAATTTTTAAGTTTAATTTTTATTTTATTTTTATATAAATGACGAAAACTATTGAGATAACAAACTACAACGGTCATGAGTTCAAGAATTTGTTCTTCGTTCCTCGTGAAAATACATTCTATCAGATACGAGGGAGAAAGGGTAAAGTTAGTTTGAGCGTTTATGAAGGAATGAAGAATGGAAAGTTTATACAAGCATACGATACAAACGGTAAGCGTGTTTCATTAGCTTTGTCAAAACTTACTAACATTTATTTTGACAGTGACTTTGACTCTGACGATTGGAGCGACAGCAGCGATACTGAAGAATATGAACTATTGTGTGAAGCACAGCAATGGGAAGAGTTGCAATACTTTTGTAAGTGAGAACTTTTATTTTTTACAGTAGTGAAGTCGTTTGTGAAAACGTTAGTGAGGTGAAGTGGTTGGTGGCTTTATAAATATTTAAGGTTAAGTTGGTGTTTGTGTTTGTGTTGTAAAATATACATTAACGGTTTTGTAAAGTGTCAAATTCACATATCAGGTGTAAGGAGGCGCGCAGTGCCTCCGTACACATGATATGTATACTAACTTACCTTCAGGAGCTACAAAGCTCCTAATCATTACGAGAGGGAGCCTTGGAGCTCCTGAAGCTCATCAGCAGAGGATATTTACCATTTGGGCCTCTTTTGATGAAAGATGCGAAGCCCATCTACGAACCAGGGGCTCCAAAGCTCCTAATCCTTACGAAAGGGAACTTTCGAGCTCCTGAGTCTTCATCAACAGAGTCCCAGTTGATAAATATCCTATGCTGATGAAAGATGCGAAGCACATCTTCGAACCAGGAGCTCCAAAGCTCCTATTCCTTACGAAAGGGAGCTCTGGAGCTTCTGAAACTCCTCCTATTATAAAATAGGACAGTTTTCTTCTGAGGCTTCTCATCAAATCTAAGACTTCAGAAGAAAGCTGTCCTATCCGTGTATACTTACATTCTGATGGACTACAAGTGTACAACTTTAAGGCAGAGATTATCCGAGGCCTCTCATCAAATGAGGGACCTCGGATAATCTCTGCCTTAAGTAGTAAAATAGCTTTTCTAACTATTCAGGGACAAGAGAACAAGAGTTGGAATACTCTAAGGCAAGGTTCTTCCGAAATCTCTCATCGAATGAGAGACTTCAGAAGGACCTTGCCAAATCCTTGAACACCGATATCCTTGGAACTGAGCTAGGACCAAGGAGAAGTAGTGTACTATAGCGCACGATGGCAATCTCGGAAATACTTATATTGCCACATGCGCAATATCTATTCAGCCTGACTCCTATATACAAGAAGTCAGGCAGAATAGATATTGTGCATATGATTTGCAGAACTCTCATATATATAAATTTTTGTTAACCCAAAAAGGTGACACTTTGGGTGTATCGTTCATCCCAGGGATGCAAAATTCACATCACCTTGTATCTATATCTGTTATTGCAAAAAAAATCATGGAATTTCAAAATTTCATCTATCACTGTCATAAGTTTTGGCCGGACGCTTGTGTGATATACAAAAATTCGTCAAAAGTGACAACTCAGAAAAGTGAAAATATTCAAAATTTGAACTTTTGAGAAACATTGTTTTTGCATATTTTTTAAAATGATTTGACAACCAAAATGATATAATATATAGCATGATTTTGATTTTCAATATAATTGAAAAAAATCATTGAAAAATATATGAATTAAAATGATTCTTAAATTAGATGCTTATTAATATTTTACAATTTTTATTATTTGAGATACTTTTTTGAAGCTTAAATGTGCGAATTTTGGGCCATTAATATATAAATGAAATCAGCATTATATGCTTAATAATAGGAAACACGAAATTCCGACTTATGAAGCTTTTTTTAAAAAAAATAATTAAATCAATATTGCACCAAGTATCGATAAAAAGCATTGAGATAGCATTATAAATAGTCATTGAATATATGTTCATATGAGCTTGTCTTGATATATCAATTCTATACAATTTATTGTGAAAAAATGTTAAAATTGAGTAAATAAGAAAAACAAATATAGAATAATAATATACTTGATCTGTTTATTATTTATATATAAGTAAAAATGATTTTGGTTTTGGTTGATATGAAATTTATCATTAATTCGAAACTCTTAAAAATGTTTAAAATAGTAAAATTATAATTATTTATTCAAAGGGATTTTCAATCCATTCATTTTTGATGTATAATTCCCATTTTTGCTTTCCCTCCTCGTACCAGAAGGGAGCTTTCTCGTATAACTCGTTTGGTGTGTAGTTTGTTTTTGTATCTGGATTGATATCAAGTGAACAATGAGGTGAATCATTGTAGTTTTCGACGAATTTCTGAATTGCTTTTTTGATAATTGATCTATCTGAGAATTTATCAGGGAGATTTTTCTCGAGACTCTGCCAGAGTCTTTCCACTTTACCATTTTGACGAGGCATATACGGCATCGTATGCTTCCATACGATGCCGTGTTCTCGCATAACCTGGGCGAATTCGCCCAGGTTCTCTCCACCGTTATCACTCCATATGCAATATGGAGTGACTTGCTGGAGTACTTTCCGCAAAACTTTTGCAGTTGCTGCGGAACTTTTGTTTTTTAACATTTTTGTAATAATAATTTTTCGAGTCATATCGTCAAGTAGCGCATAAAATGGAAATTGGGCATCATCGTATAAATAATGAATGTCACAATGCCATATAATATTTTTCGAAATTGCGCGATATTTCGTTGGTGGATCTGCAACATGATATTCGCGAGGTACCGAATATCCACTTTCATTCATATATTTAATTACATGATGATACTTAATATCTTTTAATTTCTTATAAAAGTCAGTATCCATTGTTTCTTGATTTTCAGCTTGCTGCTCTTCTAAGGGGTGTTCCTTCTGTTTGTTTTCTTCTAAACTCTTAAGTCTTTGAATTCGCTTGAAAGTTTTAGTCATTCCGCACTTATATTCTTGTACCATGTTATCAATGATCTCTTTTTGTTCATTGGTTGCAGGGTTCTTCTTTCTTCCGCATGGTACTTTGGGAATTTCCATAGAATTCAATCGATATGCTGCGATCAAAGTATTTCTTGAGATATTATAAGCGTTTAAACCATTAGTAAGATCAATTTCACGGCAAACTTCTTCATTGTATAGAATTGATATATCAAGACAAGCTCATATGAACATATATTCAATGACTATTTATAATGCTATCTCAATGCTTTTTATCGATACTTGGTGCAATATTGATTTAATTATTTTTTTTAAAAAAAGCTTCATAAGTCGGAATTTCGTGTTTCCTATTATTAAGCATATAATGCTGATTTCATTTATATATTAATGGCCCAAAATTCGCACATTTAAGCTTCAAAAAAGTATCTCAAATAATAAAAATTGTAAAATATTAATAAGCATCTAATTTAAGAATCATTTTAATTCATATATTTTTTCCTTTTAAATTTTTCTTAAAGATCTGAAAAGTAACTTCAAAAGTTAATTTTATCTAAAAAATGTTAAATAAACATTTATATCTATTACTTAATATATAGGGTGTCCAAAGGTGTGTTTAGCACAAACCTGAATACTGCGAATAGAAATAAACAAGTTACATATATATAAAGTTTATTTAAATATAATCACCATTGGATTCAATCACGCGTTCGCAGCGATCGATCCAGGCTTGAAAGACACGCTTTAAATCATCATGAGAAAATTGCTCAAATTGCTCTCTTACAAAATTTTCAAGATCATCTGGACTCGCGAATTCGCGTCCTTCAGCTCTCTTTTTTAGCGTGCCGAATAAATAAAAGTCAGAGGGTGCAATATCAGGTGAATAAATTGGGTTTGGAACAACTTTGACATTGTTTTCCACCAAGTAATTCATTACCTTATGACTTTTGTGAACTCTTGAATTATCTAAATGAATTGCAAACTTTTGTTTTTGTTGTTTGGATTTCTCAAACTCATCAGAATTGATAATTTGAGTAAGAACATTGTCAATTAGATACTGAGCATTCATCGTATTAGGTTTTTGAAGAATATCAATTGCGATGATGCCATTCACGCCCCAAAAAACCGACAACATCATCATTGGTGTGTCAATTTTTTTCTTCGGGAATGTTTGCGGATTTTCATCCTTCGGGATCCACATGATTTTGGCTTCTGTTGCATATTGAAACCAAGACTCGTCCCCTGTTACTAAAAAGCGAAACTTCTTGGATTGATACGCACCCAATATAGAGAGGAGCTCTTTCGAAGATTGGACTCTAGATTTTTTTTGAACTGAATTAAGGTTGTGCGGAACCCAACGTGTATACGCTAGTTTGTAGTTCAAATAATTGTGCAGATAATAACTGACTGTTGTACGTGGTATCTTTGTCATCTCCTCTATCCTTCTGAGTGATGCTCTTGGGTCTTCATCTAGCGCTTGAAGAATTGCTTTGATTTTTCTTTGATCCGGCGATTTTTTGTCAATTTTTATGATGGGCGCCTTTTTGTTCATGAAGTGATACATCCGGCAAACCCAAATTTTAGCTAAAAGTGACAGGAAAAAAACGTTTAGTATTAAAAAAAGACCGATGAGAGCTTCGTTCGAAATATAGAGGGAACTGAGAATGCGCAACCATTCTCAGGGAATATTGAATGCTATTCCCGTTCCCTCTGTATGGAAAATTGAGGTTTTCAAAGGGAGTTAAAATAATATCAAATTTATACTAATTTACTTCAAAATACAAAAGTATTTGACAGCTAAAATTAGTTACTTTAGCAAGCCTATCAATACCCTTTTACGATTATTGCTACTTTTTCGAAATAAAAGTAAAAACAAATTTATACTAATTTACTTCAAAATACAAAAGTATTTGACAGCTAAAATTAGTTACTTTAGCAAGCCTATCAATACCCTTTTACGATTATTGCTACTTTTTCGAAATAAAATAAATTTATTATCAAAAACTTTTTTTCTTAGTAAAAATAAAAATGTTATTTTATATCAAGTTTTTATTCATAAATTTTTATAATGTTGTATAAATTTCATTAAAATTTACGTACATATTAAGGTACTTATCTTCTACATATATAATCTTCATTAGATATATACATGATAAATAAAATTCATAAAACATTAAAAATCAAAAAATTAGATGAACCTTGGCAATTAAACTTTATTAAATAATAGTTGTTTATAAATTATATTATATTATTATTTAATATTATTTTGATAATGAAGATTTTATTTTGCAATAATATAAACGAAATTTTTTACCTTATGAACTTTTGATGGAAATATGCAAATTTAAAATAATAAAGAAAGCCGCGAGCGAAGCGATCGGCTTAGTTCGAAGATTTTGATTCAAATCTTTGCTTATATTCCTTAAATTCTTTATGAAACTCGCAACAGTTCCATAAAAAATTTTAAATTCTAAACTGTCGAAATTACCGATCGGTAATCACACCCTTCACGGGTGTGTCACTTTTACAGGCGTGTCACTTTTAGCTAAAATTACCCCTACTCGTGATACATCCTAACATGATACGTTACAGTGGAATAGCTAGGAGCATCCATACCGAAGCATTTTACCAATGTCTCGTAGATTTTTTTACAGTCTTTGCATTTTTTTGCAAGAGCGAGGATGTTTTCTTTATGATTCATTAAAAAATGAAAAAAATCCCGCCAAAATTTCCCGCGAAACCGCCTCTTGTCTCAAAATTCATTTTATATCCGGCATGGCGCCAAAATACAACATACTCATCATATACATATATTCATATTTTTTATTATATATTTATAATCAGCATATATCTCCTTTAATAGTCTCATATAGAGCGCTGTGCTAAACGCACCTTTGGACACCCTATATTTTTAATTTATTTCTCAAAAGTGAGTTTACAAATGTCAGAAATTTGAATGTTGTCACTTTTGACGAATTTTTGTATATCACACTTGGACCTGCACTTCCATTCTCATGAGGGGTAATATGTACAGCGGCATTGCCAGAAAAATGAACATGTCATTAAACTCTCCACTTTTGAGTATTTCATTTACATTTTTTATATCTTCGATAGGAATGCTGTCCGAATGGTTTGCAAAAGGATATACATGTACAGAAGGTTGAGAACTTGTATTTCTAGTTTGAGCTGTGGGTGTAGAAACAGAAGAAAGATGACTGTCAGATTGTGACAATGACGCTTTGTCAGATTTTTTATCCGGATTTTCTGCCCAATAGAAAAGCTTGAGTTGTATTGCATCAAGAGAAATAGCAATTCTGGCTTTAACACCGCCATTTTGCTGTGGGATTGGATATCCTATTTTGTATAAAATGAATACTGCTCGATGCGCATCTAATAAGCAGGCCATCATCATAAATCTCTCTCTTTTGAAGTGATCAATGACCTATCTTCCTGTAGGTAAAGGAATATATTGACAAACTGCATCAATTGAAGAAGGTGAAAGCGAATATAATATTAATCCAGGTTCATAAAGAGTTTCATGATATTGATAAGTGTTTTTACAGTTAAGAGGTAATGTAGAATTTTTAATTATATCGTTTAAGACAGATATTCCATCAAATGACTGTAATTGATTAAATTTAATTTGTGTATTTTCGTAAATGATATTATCTTAAGGTTGTAATGATGAGGCTGTATCATGGTCTTCCATATTATTGTTGTTACTATCTTGGATTTCTTGTAATTTCCTAAGACATGTTTCCAAACGAATATCAGTTAGCTTATAGAATATAGCACTTTGAGGATTCTCTTTTATTTTCCCTTGTAAACGATTAATTCCATCAATATAATGGTTGAATTGATAATTGAAACTAACATTTGGATAATTATTCTTTTTTAAATTGTCTTCTCCTATTTCGTGAAGCAGTATTAGACCATTTTCCTTATCTGTAATTAAATTACGAATTGCTGAAATACATGAATGATTTTCCATTTGAACAATAAAACCAAATATCTGCGGCATTCAAAAAAATGAATAAAAAAATTCATCACACACATTGCATAATAACTTTACAGAGGTTACATATACAGTACCATGGTCGTGTCTGCTTACTTTTTGAAAATATATAAAATTATTGAAAATAGGTTTTGCGTAAATTTTATAATACTGTCTATCGTTTTAACGCATTGTCGATGCTCTAACACATTGTTATCAATTTTAATGGACCTAAAGTGGCAGACCTGCCGGAGGCTGTGTGGGAAAAGATCTTGTATGTAATTTTTGACTGGATTTCAAGAGAGTTTCTAGTGTATCGGAAGTTACATATTTTTTGGACCTAAAATCCTTAAGTTCAAGTTAGGATACAATTGTTTTTTTTTTAAATAAAAATATTTAATAACAAGAAAATCGTACAAAAAGATATTTATTGTAGGCTTTTGATTTCTCTCGAAGAGATTTTTCGAGGAAAATTGTATTTATCTTTTTCCTTGATTGGAGTTGTTGCTTTCTTCCTTTTTTTGTTAATAGATGGACTGTTTTTTGCCGATTCTTTCAATTGTTTGCTCATACGCATATCCTGCTCTTGTCTTTTCTTTTTGTATTCAAGATATTCGGCAGCAAACTGTTGTTCAAAATCTGGCATTAAATGAACAAAGGGGGTATTGAAAATGTGATGATCTTGCTGGTTAATTGATGAATTTTGATTTTTCTTTTCATCATTTAATGACGATTCTTGATTTGCTTTTTTCTCAAGTTCTTTTTCGTATAAATATTTCTTTTCCAATGAGTATTCTTCGATTTTTTTAAGCATTTCTTCGCTGGTTAAAATACTGCTTGTAAGTGAAAATCTTTTCGATGTATTTCGTTGAACTCTTTCAAAATCAGTATTTGATTCATTAATGTATTTCGAATTCAGCATTTGTTTCAATGATAAGGGATAAAATCCGGTTTTACAAAAAGATTTTGCAGCAAGATCATGTGTTAAAATGATATTCCAAGCATCGATCATTGAAATGGTCATTAATTATCTAATTTTTGACTTGTTTTGCTTAAAAACTTCTGCTTCACTGATGTTTTCTTTTCTTCGAATTTCATCTTGAAATTCCATATAACTTTGAAAATACAGTTTCCGATATTTTGATTGGAAAGCTCTTGCCACTACTCTATCATATAGCTGTAAAATGTGTGTTAGATGCGGAGGATATGTTAAAGCAATAATATTATTTGATTTAAGGAAATTTAGTGCAATAAGGTTATTTCTTGAACTATGAGAATATAATAAAAGAAGGATTTTTGGAGGTTATGCATAATTCCAGTAAAAGTGCTTTGTCTCTCTAACAAAATATTCACACCATCTCATAAATAAATTTTTGTTTATCCAACCATTTGGGGATGATGTGACAAAAGCTCTATCACAATTCAATGAGATCATCAGGCAAATTTTTAAGATTTTCGTCGATAATAATAAACAGAGGAAGTTTTTGTCCGATTGTATTATAGCAGCATCCTGCGGTGATGTGACAAACTTGTTCTGTCACTTCGGTTAGAACCTTATATTCTGGTTTGGTGATATATTTAATACTATTAAATTTAAGAAGCATTGCTGACTCGTCAAAACACCACAAGTATTGTGGATTATTCAATATAGTTTCTTTAATGGTAGAGCTGAATTGAAGAAACCATCTTGTAATTGTAATTTTTGAAGCAAACCCTGAACGCGAATAGTCAATATTCTCACCATTTTTTAATTGCAAAGGAAGTCTTTTCATAAGATTTGCTAAATAGTTTTTTAATTCTGGATCACCATTGATAAGATTTTGATATTCTTCTATTTGCTTATCTCTTTCTCCTATTATCGAATCCACTAATTCGATTCTTTTTTTGATAATTTTTGATGCATACTATTCTCCAAGAGAGTAAGGAAAACCTTTATTTGGATTTTCTATATAATCTAAGTTTTTTTGAATTAATAAGTATTCATCTGAATGAGAGCTGCTCTATCCTTATTATCAGTATTTATATCCCAAACTTTTCCTTGAACAGTTGCCCAGAAACAACTTCTCATGGCTTGACCGTCTTTATTTTTTTATTATGAAATTTATTTCTTACATCATTAGCAATACGCGCATACTGTGCATCAAATATTCTAGCACCAGTAATTATAATTTGCTCTGGATTTATATACCTGAATTGCCGTATACACATATTTAAAAATGTTATAAACTTTTTGTTGTTCCAATTAAAAACATTTTCAATTCCTAGTAATTCTTTATTTTGTTCAATATATTTTGCCTTCTCATCAACTTTTTGGATTAAGTCGTGATTGCAAAAACTTGCGTTAAGCGAAGTTTGAAACCAGCTAGGCATTACAAAATTATTTGTTGTTTCTTTTGAAATTTGTTGAGATTGACGATAACTTGTCAGAAATTCTAGAACTTCATTTGTATATTGAACTTGCTGATGTAAAGGATTAGCACAATCTTTGCTTGATATAATCTCTTTGAGTTTGTCAACCGAGTCAATAACAGTTAGAATAGTATCCAGTGTTTCATCATCTAAATCTTTGAAGAATTTTTGAAACTGCTGCTTTGTAAATTGAAAATTATCTTCTATATGAGTATCGGAATTGTTTATTTCTTTGTAAATATCTTCGACAACTTTTTTATCAAACATTGCTCTTGGTGAGTCTTTTTTGAAAAATAACAATTGCTCGAAAAAATTGGTTCCGAATAATATATTTTCTTTGTAAATGTTCCAAGATTATTTTTAATCCTGACAATAAAACCATTTTCACCATCTTTTTCAACACTAACTTTTTATTTGTAATTTCAACCGCCTCTCCCTCATAAAGACTTTCGTTCACTGGGATATCTTCGCCACATAGATCAGAAACTACCAATTTTAAAAATGTTTCATGATGTGGATATTGATATTCTTTAACTTTAGCTTCAGAAGTTGGATCTTTGCTTTTTTCACTAAGATCCGGATTAAGTGTTTCTTGGATTGTCCTATTTTTTGCTGTTGCATTGCGAAATTCAATATCTATGAAATCTTGCATATCAATGAATATGATATCAGTGAAGGATTCATTGATAATATTGTAACATTGTTATAAACTAATGCATTCATTCCAGATGTAAATTTAATAAACTTTGTTATTTCTAAGAGATTAAATCAAAATGTTGAGCAAATGTCATTATTACAATTATTTACAGATTTATTAAATATTGGTTTCGAAAATTGTTTAAAAATGATTTTTTGTACATTATCAGATGATGTAAAGGAATGTTTAATCGATGATTTATTGAATGAATCAGTGAAACATCAAGATATTCTTATAAAGATTTCAATTCATTATATTAACTTTAGAATTACAGATGAATTTGCATCAATTCTTCTTTCCAACAAAACTCTCTTGTATGATACAAGTTTGGGGATCTGCGAAATCGTCCGAAAAAATTAAAATTTGACAGCGAATTGGTCCGAAAAAAAATCAAGAGTTTTTAAATTGGAACAATCCTTTATAACAAGTTAATAAAAGCATCATAATTATATTGCAGGCTTTTCATCTTGTGGAATCCTGCGCTTCGCTTGGATTCCACAAGATGAAAACCCTGCTTTTTAAAATCAAAAAACTAACTTTTGACATTAAGTGGGGAGATGGCAAAGAACGTTTTATTAATTCGTGTATATTCCAAATACAAAGATAATAATCATACAACAATAATATACTGTGGCTACTCAAGCAGATAATGCCTTACAATAGTAATTTAATGCCAAGCTTATGAAGGCATATTGAGATAAAGTAAAATATCAACAAAATTTCGGACCAATTCGCTGTCAGATTTTAATTTTTTCAGACTTTTTGGCATCTTTCCATACAAGTTTTATGGAGTTAATGCTTCCATATTCATTCCAATTTTATGATCACTGTTCTACATTAAACGAAGATGACTATTTCTGCACACCAAATCTATAAAGATACTCATCCAACTACATTTATTCAAAAAGTCAAAGAAAAATATTCAAAATATTCAATTTTTGGGAAAGGAGAATTTTTACGATTGTTTAGGGAATTTCCCAATGAAACCTATATATTTGGCTTTGATCTCGGTTTTCATATTGGATCAACATCCAGAGTTCTATTTATAGATGGCACTTTTAATGTTTGCCCAATTTTTTTGGACGATAAGTGACAACTGCTAAATTTGCTGACAATTGATGATAAGACAGATATTTATATTCCAATATCACATTTATTAATGCGAAACAGAACGAACGAATCTTATGTTATCGGATTTTTAGAATTATCTTATTTTATGGATTTTTCAAAAATTGAATATGTTTAAAAGCGATTTTGAAATTGCTTTGATTAATGCAATTGAAAGCATTTTTTCGCATGCCAAAATATGCAGATGTTATTTCTACTTTGTTCAAGCACTTTTACGAATGTTAAAAAATTATATGGATCCAAATTAACTGCAATAAAATTTCCGATTACTGTAATTATTTTAATAAAACATTGGGAATGAAGCATGAATACATATAAAAGGTAAAAACCGTACTAGATACAAAAAGAGCAATTGAAGGATTAATGAATATTCTCTGATATTTTTAACAGTTGTGTCAATCAGTTAGCTTTTAATATTAAACGAGGGGATGTTGATAAAGATCAAACAGAGAAACCAAAATTGAATCAATTGCTCATGAAATTAAAAATATCAATAGTTGTAGATTCGATTTCAAATGATGAATATCAAAATGATATATATTACCAAGAAATCGAAAATACTGAGCTCAGATCTATAATCTATCAGACAAATTTAATTTATTTCCTAGGTAAAAAATTGGAATTTGACGAAAGAACATATACAACAGCAAATGAAAAATTCAATAATTCAAAGAAAAAAGTTAAAAAGAAATCTCAGAAAAAAGAAGCAAAGAAAAGTCATATAAATATGAGAAAATTTTTATCAATCATCAAAGGTGCTTTTAATTCTGAATTTGAATTATCAAAATTTACTTCTAATAAAAGTAAGAGTAAAGGCAAAATATCGATATGTTCATTTGATAGCGATGTTTCTAATTCAAGTATCTCTGATAATTCTCCTTCAAAGGACTTGAGTTCATCTGATTTTCCAGATGAAAAGCCGATTTCGAAGCCAGTATGTAAGCGCGGAAGACCTAAGAAGACACCGAAGGATATCTCTGACGAATCTTAATCAATGAAATAGTTTTTGAAACAGAATCTTAAAGGAAATCGCAAAAAAACTGAATAATTGAGAAGTACATTTGGTCATGCTATTGAATATTGTGAGAATTCAAATAATGGTTATTTTTTAATTATGAAGTTATTTTTTATATTGAATTTAGGTTTATCAAATATTGAAATTTATTGAATACTTTTTTCAGAATTTTCAAATATAAATTCAAAATAGATAAAATTGGAAAATTTTATCGAAATTGATATTGAATATTTTTTTTAATTTTTTAAATATAAATCCAAGTCTCAATTTTGAATAGTTTACAAATTTTTAATGAGCGGTATTTGTGCATATATATGATTATCTCTTGCTTAAATCATTAAGGCTTCTGAAGGATCAATTAAATTTCATTCCATAGAGTTGCATTTCTTTGGATTTGGATAAAATCTTTCAAATCAAATTTAATTCAATAATCCAATAACAAAACTCATAATTCAACATGGATGGAAAACAAATTCACTAGTACGAAACAAACTTTCTCGTTTTTTTATTCAAAATTTTACAAGTCTAGCCTATAGTAGAACTTCGAAATACAATACAATTTCAAAATTATTTTTATAACATCTATATATCTTAGAGAGTATTGCTTCGCACTTTGAAAATACATGTGTGAAAACAATTATAAACCTTTGACTGACTTTTGACTAATAACTGATTTAATATTAGCTTGAATTTATTTTCAGGATGATTTTGTTATCTGTAATATCATTGAAATTGAATAAGAATATGAATAAAAAATTGTTTTAGTACTTTTGTAAGTATTTTTCATTGAATAATTCATGTTTTTTTGTATTCTTTAATATCATTGAAATAGCTAGTGAAATATTTAAAAAGATTATCTTATTTCATGAATAGATATGTCTCATAATAATACTATTATAAGAAATTAACTTTTTCTGTTATTTTCGATAAATGAGTTCATTGTGCCAATTTGTACTTAAATTGGGAACGATACCAGAATGTTGAGCATTTAAATACACAATTTTCTCGATAATAATTTCAAAATTAGAAAAAAATACTTCGAAAACATATGAAACTAATAGGACGAACTATTCATATTCTACTAAATATAGATTTCATATTTATTTTATTTGAAACTAAGTCTTTTATGAGATATAAGAAAACATCAACAAAAAATAATCGTCATGATCGGGATTTATTTTTTGGAAAAAAGTAGAAAATTCGTTTGAAAATTATCGTCGTTTTTACTTTTTTCACTCTAGAATAATTAAATCGGACGATATTATTAGAAATGTCTAATATTGGGTTTCTGAAAGATTCACTTCCTATAAGCGTCACAACCAAAAGTTCTCAATTTTGAGAAGTTTATATAGTCACAAGAAAAAATTCAGAAACTATGGCGTCATACATTACAAAACGATTAAATTTGTTAAAATAATTGGCCAATTTGCCACCGTTTTGTAAATATATTTTTTTGACATTTAAGGTAAATGGTTAATTCTCTTGCCTTTCATCATTTAAGGAGCTTCAAAACTCCCAATCTCTACGAAAGGGAGCATTGAAGCTCCTGAATCTGTATCAGCAAGGGCCCAAATGGTAAAAGGCCTCTGCTGATCAGAAGATTATGGCAGCCATTCTTCAGAAGCTCTCGGGTTCACTCCTACTCGGGAAGACAATTGGAACTTATTTTATCTAGAGTTCCAACTATCTTACAGAGTTGGAGTGAATTTGATTTAACTATTTTTCATGAAAATACTTTGCAATGTCAAAAAAATCCAATTTTGACACTTTACACAATTTACAAAACGATGTAAACAATCATCTGCATTCGCAATTAAAAATTTTTGTCATTTTCTTGTGATGCAATGTTCTCAGAATTTTCCCCTTGTCACACACATAAATTATTCAAAATTTAATAAAAACGGTTGTGATGCCGATGTGACGCCAAAAAAATCTTAACCCCTAATATTTATCAGGACACAAATAAATTAGAAAAATTGCTAAAATAGATTTTAAAAAATTGGAAGAATTTCTTCTAAAAAACTCAAATCAATGAATGTATTATTTAAAAAAAATCAGATTTGAAATTAATATTAATCAAGATAAATATATATAATTTAATATGATTGGAATAAAAGTTTTTTGTCGTATTTTACCAATGGCCCTCTTTGAATGTCCATAAGAATTCGGAGTTAATTTAACATGTGGATGGAATCAGTTCATAAAAATGTATCGAGATTGGAATAAGATCATTAGGAAAATTCAAAAATCTTATGATTTCAATTGCAATTAACAAAATTTCAAATAAAATCTTATAAATAGGGCAAGAAACCATTAAATTTCAATAATAAAAGGCAGTTATAATACATGTTTTTTATCTCATACGGAAAAGGGTCACTAGTAAAAGTGACATCTGGCGCCAATTTTTTTAGATTAAAATTGTAATTT